AGCTACTCTGGACTTCAGAAAAGTGAGAGGACCTTAGCAGAGCAGCAAGTGAGGGATTAAAAAGCAGAGGTATCCACTCATTGCTCCATGATCAGCCAACAGATCAGTCAAGGCAGGGGTGGGCTTCAAAATTTTTAGCAAAGAGTGGGTGTGGCTATGGTGGGCATGGCCTAGTTGGCTGTTAGATCGGGTAGATCAGGTTCATTGAGACGCGAGACTCACAGTGAACAGTCAGCTCTTTATTTGGTATTTAGTTCTGAACAACAATGTGGCTCGTGGCGGCTCTTCATATAGAGCCGGCTCGTGGCTCGGCGGCCAATGACATCGCTTTGAATCTCCCGCAATCGGCTCAGCCAATCACGGTAGATTCTTAGCGCACCAATCACAGCCGCTCAGTTAGCCAATCAGGTTGTGGTCCGTGTGGACCAATCGGATTTCAGGATTTGGAGAATGTTAATATAGAACATTGGCCTCCTGCACCATGCTCTGGAGGCTTTCTTCAAGCCTCCAGGAGAGCGAAAATGGCCTCCCCGGGCTACGGAAGCTCTCTGGAAACCAGAAACTGTTTTTTGCCTCCCCAAGCCTCTGCATGCGCCCTGCACTTACTTGCATCCAAAACAGGCCGCGTGGGGACTTCTGGGAGGGGTGGGGTGGGCGGGGCCAGCCAGGAGTGGGATTTGGGGGTTCTCCGAACTGCACAGAATCTTAGCTAGGGGCCCTCCCGAACCCCTGCGAACCCCCAGCAGCCCATGCCTGAGTCAAGGTAACAGGGTAAGTGATGCTGTTTCATTCTGTTCTCTCCCACATCATTTTGTCAGTGCAAAGTGCTCTTTTCTCTAAAGCTCTGGCTCTTCTTCCTCCCTCTCTTTTTTCCTGGGATCCATTTGAAGTATTAAACTGTGTGTAGTGGAGGGGGTCCAAATCTGGAGTTGCACTGGACCCCAAATTCCTTGAACTGGCCCCGTCATAAAGCAAAATGAAGAATATTTCTCATATTATGACAATAGTACTTAGAACATTCTTTATATAAATATAAACTATATGCAGAACACAAATCACTGTGGCACTTGTGTCCCTTCATGTATTTAGGGGTGGGATTAGGGGGACAGGATGTTGCTAAATGCCTGGTCTATCTATAAAAAAGCTTGCCTCGTCATCAAGTAGGCCTGGCCTGTATTACTAACACCTGAATAGGGCCAGGGGCTGGGTATTCCCCTCTTAGAGTATCTTTGACTGAATTTCAGCTTTTACATGAAGAGATTCTGCTGGTATCAAGAGATACGTTTTTGTCAGGTAGAAGAAAATCTTTGTGAAGCTTTATTAGTGAATCTGGGTTCACAGGAGAAGACACTGTGGGCATCTGATGGAAGTGCTCAGTTTCCAGAGGACCTTGGGGAGGCAGCTCTCTCAAGGCCTTAATCGCTGTTGGAACATGGAAGTTGTACCTGAATGCCTGCTTGCAAGGGCATCCTGTGGTTTTTCAAGAAGCTCCAGAGGACAAACAAAGCAAAGAGGTGTGTAGAATGCCACTGTTGTAAAATAAGGAGTGACTCTGACTCAAGCACTGATAGGAGTCCATATTCAGGCTTATACTAGGCTGATGAGAGCAATTAAAAGTTGATGTTTTTCTGCTCTTATTATATCCTCATATTTTCTATTCTATTCCATTCTATCTATTCTGTGCCATTTCTATCCTCCTCTTTTGGAGAAAGTTTTGGAGAAAGCAGTTAGATTATAGATTATTTGAGCTTGTTTTTGTTGAGCTTCAGGTCCAGGTTCAGCACAAAAGTGACATTAATCCCATATATTGATGATTTCTGGTAGGACAGGGATAGGGGAATGAAACCGGCCACTACCTGATCTCTGAAACTTTTCTCTATCATTGATCGGGGTATCCTTATATATCCTTATGAACTATCTCCAGGAGCTAGGGTGGCAAACACTCTCTTTCATGGCTCTCTTCTGCTGGTATGGTTCCAGTTAGTAGAGCTTGATTTTCTCAGTGCCATGTAACTTTGAATGGATATTAAATGAATGGTTGTAAATTGAGGATTATCTGTACCGAATAAGCAATTTCTTGCCTTATGTGATAATTGGCTACTTCGCACCAGGGAAGAACAAATTCAACATTTGCCTTTTGTGTGTGTGTGTGTATGTGTATGTGTATGTAAAGACACACACACACACACACACACACAGAGAGAGAGAGAGAGAGAGAGGGAGGGAGAGGGAGAGAGAGAGAGAGATACACAAATGCACCTGTCCCGAATCTTGCTGGAGTTGTCTATACCTTGCTTGTTGAGTCCCAAAAGGGGCACCTGTGAAGCCTTTTGATTCCATCTTCTGCTGCCCAGAAGAAAAGGAAAAGAAGGATCACTTTCCTGATTGGCAGCTGTAGAAGAAAATGGCTCTGGAATTTCACTGCCATGACAACACTGGACGCTGGAGCTTCTGTTTCCATGGTCCTAACAGAGGTGTGTCTTCAGGGCAACCAGCTTTCTTCACAAAGCCTTGTCAGTGCTTCTGGCTTCAGTGCTTCCAACTCAGTCTTGGACTATACTTGGAAGAGATGGTTAGATCCTGCCCAGCGGGTCTTTCATGGCAACTGCAAAGTAACAGCAAAGAAAGAGTAGCAGAAGGAATGGCAAAGATGTGTTTAGGGAGGACACATACCACAGTTGTTCCTTCTTTGATTTATAGTGATCATGCTAATCCTTAGCATTAGTCTAAAACTCTCATAATTCTTAACTAATGTGGTTGGCCTAGATGCTAATGAACCATTCCCCACTAAACCTATGATCTCAGGTTCCTTTATATTCATTGAAGAAATAACACAAGGTGTTATTGGCAGTGTCAGCTTAACATACAATGCTTCATCCTCTTGTTGATAACACGGTATTTTTGTATTCCAAAGCACATACTGTACTATGCAACGTTTGAAGAACTTTAGCATTTTTTTCTTGGGGAAACTTAACAATCCATCATTCATTTTTCAGTTGTGGAAGAAGCAGAAAAAGCAGGGCTTTCTGGCCCCTACCTCACTTCAAATTGAAAAGAGAACTGAAAGCTGGATTATTCTAACTTGAGATACAATAACAATTTTAGATATGAGTTAGCATGTTTGCTACACGGATAGTCTTACAATTGTTTGTTTACAATTGTTTGTTTAGTGACTGTTCAAAGTTACTGTCAACTCATAAAATATTTCTATGGTCTTTTTTAGAGTTGCCAACAGAAAGGGAGGCGGGAGCAGCAGGCAGCTTGCATTCCATAAATGTTTTCAAAGATCATTTCTAGGTGACTGAAGTTTCTGCCCTAAATTGATGTATTGAGTATGATTGATGACTCTTGGCTATGGATGTGTCCCACTGGAGAATATGAATTATGATACACCCAGGGGGTGGAGGAAAACCAGGGTCAATGGTGACAATGAATGATGTGTCTCAGAGCCAGCTACACCCAGGCAGTGCCGGCATGTTTACTCCTAATAAATCTTTAAGTTTTGGAATTTCGGCTAGAAACTCATGATTTAAATGGGGATAACTGCCCGGGTGGCTTATGACTGTTTTTCGGATGATGGTTACAGCATCCCCATGGTCACGTAATCAAAATTTGGATGCTTGGCAACTTGCATGTAGTGGTTGCAGTGTCCCAGAATCTTGTGATCACCTTTTGTAACCTTCTGACAAGCAAAGTCAGTGGGGAAGAAAGATTCACTTAACAGCCCTGTTACTAATTTAACAACTGCAGTGGTTCACTTAACAACTGTGATAAGATCGTAAAATGGAGGGAAGCTCGCTTAGCAATGGAAATTTTGGGCTCAGTTGTGGCCATAAGGATTACTTGGATGATAACAGAATTATTGTTTTCCCCACCACTACTTGCAACACACATATCAAGGATTCTCCCATCTAAAGAAAATTTAGAATCAAACACAAACCTGGGAATTAATAATCAGTTTGGAAAAAACAGTGAGCAAGAAATCATACCTGCCCTGTTGCATTGTTCATCTTAAATTATACATTGCTCTGTCCCAGATCTATGTTCTGGAACAGGAGTCTCTAAACTTGACAACTTTAAGACTCATGGACTTCAACTCCCAGTATTCCTCAGCCAGCATAACTGGCTGGGGAATTCTGGGAGTTGAAATCCGTAAGTCTTAAAAGTTGCCAGGTTTGGAGGTCCCTGTTCTGGAACATAGCTATAGGCAAGCTGGAGACTTTAAATTACATATGACTTCAAAGTTTCCACTCCTTTGTATATTTTTCTAAATGATGGTACTTAATAGAGCTGAAGCACAAAATTATTAATTACATTATGTTAATTTTATTATTCATACATGAACAGTTGTATTTATTAATTTAATTTTAAATGTAAATGAAATGAAATGAAGTTTAGTTTTTGTCTGGTCCCACCCTCTATGTTTTGAATTATGCTCCTCATCGCCAGAGGTGATTCTCAGGCTCCAAACTGATCATAATGCCTGGAAATCCTAGATCAGAGGTCTCCAAACTTGGCAACTTTAAGACTTGTGGACTTCAACTCCCAGAATTCTCCAGCCAGCATAGCTGGAGAATTCTGGGAACTGAAGTCCACAAGTCTTAAAGTTGCCAAGTTTTGGAACTCCTATCCTAGATAGATGATATGGAGAAAGACCTCGGCTTAGCATTCGAGCCAACTGGTTATGAAATGCATAATAGTGTTTCAGCTTGCAGCATGAACTATTAACCCCTTTTACTTATAACTATGGTTTATTCAGAATGCCTGATTTCCATACTCTCCTTTGGTTGGTTTTCAGCCTTGCTAACTATCGACCACTGGTGATTCAGTGAATAAATGATGAATATGAAGCAGCAAGTTGACTAAGGAAGAAGAGGCATTTAATCTGGCTCCTCCTTTTGCAGGCATCATGTGAAACAGCAGAACCAGAAATACTGGTGTAAAAAAAAAAAAGAGGGGGTGGAGAATTCAGAAAGGTAAACAAAATTGAAAGACGGAAAGAAAGAAAGGAAATCCTGGAAAGCTGCTGATTGAAGACTCCTGGGCTGGTCAGAAGCCTTTCCAGCAAGGAAAATGGAAGAAACCACCGTGGACATTGATACTCTTATTGATGAGATGGACTACATTCCTGGTCACTTTCATCTAGATATGAATTTAAATTTTGAAACATCTGCACCAATCAGTTTCCAAGGGAGAGACTTGAAGCTGAAACGAGAAAGCCTACTTTACGAGTTGGAGTTTGAAACTGGCTCACAGCAATATGCCATTCAAAACCTTCTCGGGGTATTTTCCTTTTACCTGGAGGAAGTGGAGCAAGCCAAGGAGATTTTTCTACATATCACTCAAGAACAGCCTGAGAACTTAAACGCTTGGGCCAACCTGGCCTACATTTATGACAGGCTGAGCCAGGAGCAAGAAGAGGTTGAATGCACTGAGCAGCTCTCCAAATTAATGGGTTTGGATTCAGAAGACAAGCTGCAGGGGAATCACCAGGACAGGGCAGCTCGTTGCCTGGCTGAACAGGGCTATGCCTATGCCTTTGATATCAGGCTAACAAACGAAGAGGAGAAGATGGAGAAACTGACTGTAGGTCTCACTCTCTACAGCAAGGCTCTGGCTTATGGAAAGCAGGTAAATAAGTTATCACGTATCTTTGTGTCCTTTGTATTTAGTGGGAGACTGGAATTCTATCACATACAGGTAGTCCGTGACTTACATTTTGTGACTGTTCAAAGTAACAGCGGCACTGAAAAAAAGCACCATCTTTCATGCTTACAACCTTTTCAGCATCCTCATGGTTTACGTGGTTTACATTCAGATGCTTGATATTTGGCTCATGTTTATGATGTCTCGTGATACCCTTTTGCGACCTTCTTCCTTAACAAATGTCTCACTTTGCAACAGAAACTTTGGGTTCAATTGTGGTTTTAAGTCGAGGACTACTGGTATGCTGAATAAAACTCCAGCTGGTGCCAAACACTAAGAGCTAAGAGTGGGAGGAATTTTGCAGGAGGCAAAGTGGATTCTTAAAGCATTCTGTGATCCGGATGACATGGTACCAGGAGGAAATTCCTAACAGACTTCCTCAGGGTAATTTCTCTAAATAGGTTGGGCTCTATTGATATCCCTAGACACCGTGAATATTTGACCATGCTGGAAGAAACCACCACAAGTAAAGGTCACCATGTTGGGGAAAAGGCTGTTCTTATAAGATGACCTTTCACCAGCATCAAGAAAAAGCTCTTTGCTATTGCTCTCTCTGGCTAAAAGTGCAAGTTATTAGAACATCCACAATTATGCTTACTACATTTAGGCTTTTTCCATTATAAGCCATATTTTTTCTTTGAGCCAGAACTGTTGTGATCCCCCTAGTAAAATTCCTAGTCCTGCATGAGGAAGTGAAAATGGCAGTGCCAGTGGGTAATAATGAGAACATGGTTTTTTGACAGAATCATAATTTTATCTGTTCTTCTGTTAAGGTTCGTCTGTGTAAGTCTGTTGTTCTGTGTGAGGAACCTAGCCGTTGTGGCTTATAAAGTAGAGTTGATTAGTGTTTCCTGCACAGTCTACAATAATTTAATCATGAAATCATGGTTACATTATGTTGTAGCAAATTTTGATCATGCATGAGTTAAACAGACAAAATAAATAAGCCTTAGGACTCTGTAACTAATTTCTTCATGGTTGGCTGGAGCATTTTATAGGCACTTTTCTTATGGCTATAAGAAATATCCAGAAATAATCAGGGCAGGAAGGGTTTAGGTTAATAGGTTAAAACATTTGAAATTGAATGTCAAGGGCATTTCTGAATAGCCCTGAACAATATTAACTTTCAGTTTTCTAATTAGGATCTTCATTGTTCTGGTTACGCAGCCAGCCAGATTTTTAGACTGGATTTTGCATTTTTATCTACCTATCAAGACTTTCCTAAGGATCTGGGATAGGCAAATGTTGAGGTTTCATGGTATATTATTATTGTGGTTTGGTCTCAGAGTCAGCCAGAAGTTTAGATTTGATGTGGACTTTTTCTCCACCTGTCAAGTCTTTCCCAAGGATCTGGGATAGGTGGTTGTTGTTTGCTATTTTTATCACTCTTATTTTCTTGATTTAACACTGTCCTGAAGTTATTTCCTTCTGAATGCTCAATTTTATGCTCCCAGCTCCTAAGAGCCACAACACAAGACAGGAAGCTAAGCTGTAACTATTTGTTATAGCACAATATTTACACTAAAGGGATGGTCTATGTTTAATTTTATACCATTGTACAGGATCCGAAGTTCTTAGGTAGTGGAGAAAACAGACAGAATGGCATCAAAAGAACCTTCATAAATATATTTTAAAGTGGTTGCCTTACAGACATATTCAATAAAAATATAGTTCTTTACCCTGAGTTTTCCTGCAATATAAAAACTAATTTTTTGATTTGCTGTATTTGTGATCTTTTGAACAACATCACCTATATAAAAATGGTTAGTGAAGTAACCCTAGAATTTATAATCAATTACCAATTACGTTGTTTATTAAAGATGACACATTTGTATAAACTGGCATAGTCTCCAAGAAAAGGATGTTTTCTCAATGAAGATTAATCATCTGACTGATTTTACTGAATTTGTTAACTACATATAGGCATGAGAATATTCAGCCACAAGAAAGGATCTGACTTTGCCTATGGTATAAACCAGGGGTCTCCAACCTTGACAACTTTACAACTTGTGGACTTCGACTCCCCAAATTCCTCAGCCAATTCTGGGAGTTGAGGTCCACAAGTCGTGAAAGTTCAGGTTTTGTTTCTGTTTTTTCTCTGCCTCTCAATTTTGTTTTGATTTTTTTTTTTTGCAGCATTTAATTTCTACCTGTGTTTTTTTAATGTTGCTCCTATAATCCCATTAAATATATACTTTGAATTTTTTTTAACATCAGTAGATTTACAGGACGGACAAATCGCTACTACTCAACATTGAATAGAGCTGATGAACTGATTTTGCTCTTCATTTTTAGAATTGAATTTATTATAGCAAATGAGATGGACTTTAAGGTTTGTGGATTAGAGCAAGAACAGGGCTAGGAACTATCATCTTTAATTTCGTGAAATAATGTTCTATGACTGGTACTGGGGGAATGTGATCACTCAGTCACCAGTGCCTAATCAAACTCTTTTGTCCTTCCCCTCTCCCTCCCTTCCTCCCAATTTCAGATCCCTTTAGAGGAAAAAAGAAGCTGGTACTTTGCCATGGCCACTCTGCATATCAGGTGAGACAAGGGAAGGAGTCCAGTATAAAAATTCCCCATCACTTGTGTCTCCTCGAAGAAAGGATTTCAAAATTAACAACAGGGGGAGAACATTTTGGGACAAAATGGCAGACGTTTCTTGTTCCACTGAAAGCTAGAGCACAAACAGCTGTAGTCCTCAACTTATAACCATTCTTTTAGGGGCTGTTCAGCGTTACTAAAAAAAGGTACCTAGGACCGTTTTTCACACTTAAAAGTATTGCCCACGATCACGTGGTTAAAAAAACAGATGCTTGGCAACTGGCATGTATTTATGACAGTTGCAATGTCCCAAGGTCATGTGATCACGTTTTGCAGCCTTCTGACGAGCAAAGACAATGGTTGACTTAACCACTGTGGCTTAGAAAGGTTGTAAAATGGGCCAAAACTCACTTAACCTCTGTCTCACTTAGCAACATAAATTTTGGGTTCAGTTGGGTTCAGACATATAATGAATACCTGGATGAAATCTGATATTAGCTAAAATATGTGCTGTATGGTTTGAATCAGTATTTAGTAACCACCGTGAAAGTAATTTCCTAGATCAGGGGTGTCAAACTGGCAGCCTGCGTGCCGGATGCATCACACGCAGGACACACCCACCCCAGCTCCGCGAATGTGAAAAAGTCATGAAACATCACGTGACGGCAATGTGACGCCGCGAATTTGATGCCCGTGCCCTAGATGTACTAGTAGAAACAACAAATTACCTGGGGACTTCTTGAAAGTTAGCATGTACATTAAGGCAGTTTGTTGTTTGGAAAATTGCTGTGGGTAATTTGAACCCAGCACACAGACAGCCAATCTCAATATCCATATCAGACCAAGTACACAACTGGCTTCCATGGCAAGTAATGAGCAATATTGATTTTAAACCAAGGGGTGGAAGTAATGATTTGAATGAGGCAAGGTGGTTTGTCTGAATGCTTTTTATATCTGATTACTTTATACCAACTTTCCTCTCTGGGAATACTTTGGCAACTTCCCATTATCAAATTAAAAGAATGAATCAAAAAATAACAGAGGTGGCTAATTCACAATGATACAACAAACTTCCTCTGGGCCACATCATCCTCTAGAAGTATCACAGTTAGAAGAGGGTGGAAAGAACGGGATTCAAAGAAGTATTTCCAACATTTGATGTTTTTAAAAAATTAATTATATAGGATTTTTTAAAAAGTATGTTGCCAATCAGTTCAGCAAATCCTGCATGTACACATCTGTATGTATGAATGATATTAGTTCCTCTTTTTTGCTTCAGACTAGATGGGGTGTGGATGAACAAAGGTGAGGATGAGAAGAAGAGACTGACAGCTTTCAACAGAACTCTGGTTTTGCTTCAACAAGTACTGAAGTCATCTAATCTACACTACAGAGGTAGGAGAAATGATTCATTGATTATAGCCTGCAAATGCTATATAGTAAGGATCAAGCCAAGTCAGAACATCGGGATACCACTGCCAGAATGCATGTATTCACTTGCACACACATATACACGCCAAAAATCTGGTAGCATCTTTTCTGATTAACAATTTGACAAAACATAAGCTTGTGTGCTGCAACTCACTTGATCATAGCCATAGAGTTTCTCAATTGATGTAGGTTTTTAAATTGAGATAGAGAAGGAGAAGACAGGAAAGACAGACTGGTTGTTGCCATGGACCTGTCGTAGTTTCGAGATAATGTCAGCATTCCAGGGAACCTCCATTCCAATCAGTAATTCCGAGACAAGCATAATCTCAAAAGTACTTTATTAGAATAGCACCTGACACATCTGTGAAATCTCAAAACTAAAAGTTCCCTGGACAATATCCCAAACTGCAATCCATCTCCTTTTCCCTCATCATCACATCACATGAACCAATCCCAAAGAAAGTTCCTTTTTGTTCCTCCATGACCTTGAACTAAAAAAAAAATTCTATTTTGTCTACTTAGAGCTACTCAATTAAAATCACCCCCCTTTCACTTTCTCAAGCTATGTGGCAGCGATGAATAAGGTTTCCAAAGCTGACAGGACCAATATGGCTCATTTCCTGTAATGCTCAAATGCACAAATGCCTATACAAATATACACACACAATTCCATTTTCTTACCAGCTCAATTTCAATCAGTCAATCAATTAGAACAGAGCTGGAAGAAACCTTGGATGTCTTCTAAACCAACCACCTTCTCAAACAAGAGGAGACCTCTACCATTTCAGACAAATGACTCTCCAGTCTCTTCTTAAAGACTTCCAGTGATGAAGCACCCACAACCTCTTATGGCAAGCTGTTCCATTAGTTAATTGTTCTCACTGTTAGGAAGTTTCTCCTTAATTCGCACGCATTATCAGAAGGGTTACCCCCAGGTTGATTGCAATCACTTCTGCATACTCAGGTGCTTTAGTCTCAATCATGTCATGGATTCGAAAGAGCATTCTGTAGTCTTCTAGCATTTCTGTTGCTGTACCGGGTGTTTTTTCATTGGGGGAAACGGACAGTCCAGGCATCTATTGATTAGAATAATATATGCAGGCATACAAATCTTTTTTTTTAAATGCAGAGAGATATAAACAGAACAATGAATATGTAAGTACTGTCCGTGGGCATTTACTTATTGCAATTATTTACATAATGTGAGCTGCAACAAATGTAAGCTGATTTCTACTTTCCATCAGCTTTAGATGTTCAGAAGCAGAGAAGAAAAGAAGAATGGTCTAAGGCGCGACTCCCATGAGTGAACTCAATTCTTGGTGACTTGATGGACATATCCCTGTCCATCAAGTCACTATCTTGGCAGCATTATATAAGTAGTTTGAAATTATCCTCCAGGCAGGATACCTTCTCAATTTCACATTTTAGCCTATAGGTCTATATTGCCCTGATGGTTCCCCATCCAGATATTAACAAGGACTAAACCAGCTTAGGTAGAATGCACCAGCATTTTCTGATGTGGAAAACCCTTTCTATACCTATACCAGTGGTGGCTAATCTTTTTGGGCTCCTGTGCCAAAAATTGTGCACGTGCCAGCACGCACGCACTCGTGCCAGCACCCAGAATGCAATGTGCACCCCTCTCCCCATGCCCCCTGTGCATGCGCACACAATCCCCACCCCCCCATGCCCTTACCTGCACTGCACCTCACACTTATTTTTTTGTGTGAAAAGCCTTGCAGGCCAAATTATAGGCCTGTTTCATCACTTCCGGTATTACAGGAAGTGACGAAATGGGCCTATAATTCATCCTGAAAAGCCTTGCAGAGGCTTTTTCCAAGCCTCTGGGAGGCCAAAAAAGGCCTCAAACCAACCAAAAAAAATCAGCTGTGAGGCACGCACATGCGCAGTGAGGTAAGTTTGCCTATGACTCACATGCCAGCACAAATGGCTCTGTGTGGTACTTGTGGCACATGTGTGGTACTTGTGGAACATTTGCCATCACGGACCTATACCAGGGGCTGTCTCCAATTAATAAGTAAAAATTTAAGTTTAAAAATAAGGCAGAAACTTCCCCTTTATTTTTGAGTGGAATGATCTCCTCCTTTTTCTCTAGCCTTAGCCTGGTGCTATCTTGGGATGCTACTAGAAAGGAAATATTCTTTCTCAACTACTCCCCTGGGCATTAATGACTGTGGTTATGCTGGAACCGATCCCCTGGATTGCTTTGGAAAGGTAGGCTGTTATAATTAATCATTACAAAAAGACAAGGATGGGAATGACACCCAGTTTCCCCCTCCAAAAAAAATTAAAAACAATATTTCAGTAGTACTTAGACTTATATACCGCTTCATAGTGCTTTACAGCCCTCTCTAAGCAGTTTACAGAGTCAGCATATTGCCCCCAACAATTGACCTCAAAAGGCTGAATCAACCTTGACTCTATCAGGATGGAACTTCTGGCAGTGGGCAGAGTTAGCCTGCAATACTGCATTCTAACCACTGTGTCACCATGGCTCATCAATGCTTCTTTGTTTAATGTTCTTCCTACTGCATAACACAGAACTAGGACTATATCTTTCTTCTCCATTTTCCTCTCTTTTACAAGTGATAGTGGGATTCAAAGTTGATTGCTTCTCTCAATATCATGAGAGAGGCATATCCTTCCCTTCCCAATCCTAAATCGAGCACACACACACACTCCTAAACCACGTTGCAAGGGGAAGAGGAAATTGGTTAGTTGGAAGCAGATGCAAAGAATTGTGGTTGTGTTGATAATCTAACCCGAGCTGTGTACATCCATCTCTATGCTAGCAACCTCAGCCTCCCAGCAGGTTACATTGGATAGCACAAGTTTAGCCATTTGCATGAGTGTCAGCAGAATGCTAAACAGGAAATTTTGCTTGATCACAATCCCATTCATGCAGTTTTCTTCAAGGGGTGTTGACAATACTTCAAATCTTATTTTTAAGTTAGGAAATTTGGGGTATTGATGTGGGGAGAAGTTCAGTCCACACAGAAATGTGGGGGCAACACATTCCTTTTTCTACATAGGAAGGAGTAACTTAAAACAAGGATGTGCCCAGAACAAATACTTCAGGACTATAATGAAAAGATGATTTTATTGGTTCCATCTTCACCTTTGTATGGAAGCAAGAGAAGCAAAAAGCTTCTTTCAAGCTTCACAATTACAAAGGAGGAAGAGGAGGGATGTTGCTCATCTGCTTAAATTCTACTGTAATACTAGCTCACTGATATGAGGAATATTCCTAAAGCTTTAATTATTAGCCAAGTCGAAATAATTGAATATGCCTTATCTTTGTGGCGGCACAGTGGTTAGAATGCAGTATTGCAGACTAATTCTGCTGACTGCCAGCAGTTCAATTCTCATCAACTCAAGGTTGACTCAGCCTTCCCTCCTTTCAAGGTCAGTAAAATGAGGGCCCAGATTGTTGGGGGCAATGTGCTGACTCTATAAATTGCTTAGAGAGGGCTGTAAAGCACTGCGAAGCAATATATAGGTCTAAGTGCTATTGCTATTCCATTGCTTTGCTAAATCTTCTGTTCCTTCTAGCGCAGGTGTCAAAGTTATGGTGTCATATTGTGGTCACATGATGTATTGCAACTTTTTCCCCTTCGCTAAACCAGGAGTGGGTATGGCCAGCATGTGATGCATCTGGCCCACGGGCCATGAGTTTGACACCGATGTTCTAAGGAACTAATCAAGTTTTTTTTTTTCAGCCATGAATTAAAGATAAGGGCATGTCCAAATTGTCATTAAAATGTCTTGGCAGACAGCTGGGAAGACTTTATATGTCTTGGACTACAAACCCTCACCTGGCTGATGATTATGGAAGATGCAATCTAATGCAGCATCCAGGTGGGGGTGATTGTGAAAATGATTGCTGAATTCAACAACTTTCTTGGATAATGAAGTCAAAGTGAGAAACCGGGCTTTTACAGTAACAACAAAAATTAACATAGTAGATAAATTCTTTCTTTTACTCATTTGCCACCTAACACAAGGGGCCAAAGAGCTCCATCTTTTAACCTTTGTCCAATTTATGAATGTAACTGATCAATGTTCATGACAACTGATGATTAATGGAGAAAAATATATTTGCTTTTAAGGCAATAGAGGTTGCTAGAGATAATCCGCCTGTTCTCAACCGCCTGTCAAAAATCTTCCATTTCCTTGGCAAGCTAGAGATGGCAATGGCAGTTTGCAACATGGCTCTGGATGTAATCCCTGATCCAGGACTTAACTGGCAGGCGTATTGTATGCGTGCTAAGGTAGGTAACTCATCCTTAAAACAATTTGCTTGGTCACATAGCAAACACTTGGGAATTTTTTTGTACAGATGATTAAAGTTAAAGTTTATTTTATTAGTGCAGTCCTACACTAATAAATGATAGGATTTCCAAAGGATCCAATTTCTTTTAAAAATTATTTTATGACACCAAACTGATTGGACACAATTGAACATATTTTTTAAGGCAAAAGGTTATATACATTTAGCTGTATACACAACATTATATGACATTGGCATTATAGTAGACAATTTGACCAACACATGTTTCAAAACTCTTCACCTAGAAACCTCTAGGTTTTCAGCCCAAGCCTTCTGCCTTGGTATACAATTGTTAGATAGCTTGCCACCTCTTATTTTCTAGGTGAATGTCTTAGTTGCCATCTTTTCCTTAGGCCAATGTTTCTCAACATTGGCAAATTTAAAATCTGTGGACTTCAACTCCCAGAACCAGTTATGCTTCTGGGGAATTCTGGGAGTTGAAGTCCACACAAGTTTGAAAAGCATTGCCTTAGACAGATCACACACACCCCCTCTGCTCCCTTCTAGGAGGCTCAAAAGCAGAGAAAGGCATATGGGGCCACAGTTTCTCTCTTTCAGCAGCTCCCCAAGGTTTTAGCAGTGATCAAACCAAATCAAGTCAACTGAGCGCTATACATTTATCTTTAGATGCTGATTAAACTGTACTTACGGGATGTGGAACGTGTGAAGATAGGCTTGGCTGAAATGCCAGACCAGAGCAACCTTTTGGGGGCCAAAGTTGATCTTGAAAAAGTCATCAAAGTCCACCCCTGCCTGAAAACTTACCTTGATCTTGGCCAGGTAAGTGAAATTATCCATGGCTGCCCATATATTTTCACTGAATTCACTATTTTCAGGAACTTCCAGATAGAGAACACTAAACTACTTTGGGTATTAAACCAAAGGCTTTGGGTAGCTATTCCATTTGTTTGTTTTTTTCCTGACAAAAAGAGGCAGAAGGATTGATTGAAAGAGAGGTAAGATGTACAGAGAGAAAACAATGATGTTGGAACCCCTTTTAAAAGGCCATCCTTGAAGTCTGATGATGGTAGCTTAGAAGCCTAATCAGATAATAAAATGTTATTATTCAGCAAACTACAGCACAGAGCTAAAGAATTGTTTTTGTTTATTTGTTCAAAATTAATTTGCTTCCATTTAAAAAAATATCCGTTCATGGATTTATTAAACTGATACAGCCAATCAAAAATAGGAGTATCCACAGCCACTTACTATGTCACATCGGATACTCAGATCCTTGCTGAGTGAGGAGGCCCTGTAACCACCAAAATGATTCAATGTTGCTTATGTCACTTTGACCGCTCTTCACACACACACACAGAGCACAAAATATTCAAAGTCTGAGAAAAACAGAATAGCTGTAATTTTAAAAATTCAACTTGCACTAATTAAAACCAGCAGAAAATAACAGCAATTCAGCATATTTTTAATAGGAAAAAAAAACAGACTGAAAAGACCACACTAGTACTGTATTTAAAGCATAGCTGTGTTGATTTAAAAGTTCTACTACATATAGATATACATACATGTAGACGTACACATACACATATGCATGCACTTTACATATACATACAATCCAGTTAAGTTTTGATTTAGATACATATTTCCACCTGACACTGTGAAGAGTCCTAAGGAAGGTGTTAGGTGAGCCATTCTGGTAGAGGGGTTAACAGCTGGGATGTTTCTCGCCTTCATTTATTCTTGGAAAGCCCTCACAGAAGAACATAAAATTTAGAGATAGTCTTACAAAAAATGACGGATAGTGAGATAAGTTACCCCAAATTCTTAAGGTCTCTTTTGTTTCCTATGTGCTGCTTAATTTTAAAAATTAGGAGTTTTTTTCAGTAATAGTACAGAAGTAATAATAGTAAGGGCATTCATTTCCCAAAAGTGACTCCAGATTGCGTTCCAGGGTTAAAACCACTACTGCAGATAAACAAACCCAGCACTGCAGGCCTTGAATACAATCCAGCTCATAAGAATAACCTAACCACATTAACCAGCAGAACTTGCCTAACCACATGGCCCAAGTCTCTATTTAACAGAGATCCAGCAGGATCTGCATGATCCTTTGCCCTGCATAGGAGAGCGGAGCTGGAAAGCAGATTAGTGGGATGGAGAGGGAATGGGAATTTTGCAGTAACCTTCTCCCAGGAGTGGGGTGGGAATGGATATTTTACAGTATTCTTCTCCTGCCACACCCACCAAGCCACTCCCACCAAGCCAAGCCCTGCCCACCAAAGCTACGTCCACAGAACCAATAGTAAAAAAATTTGAATTCCACCACTGGTGGCATCATTAAATTCATGATATGTTGACCAAAGAAACAAGAAAAAGAAAAGAAGAGAAACAGTCCTTTTTGTAATAGAAGGAATATACCAGGACTTTCTGCATGCTGATACTTACTCTGATACTTCATCTCTGCAGACTGATGCAAAAGTTGTTAAACTTTGAGATTCAAGATACTCCTCCTTGTAAAACATTTCATGATCGATCATAGCTACAGGGGAAAAAACATTTCATGATCGATCATAGCTACAGGGGAAAAAAGCATTGAAGTTTACAATTGTGGTTTTCTTGATTCTTTAGATAAAAAGATGATGCTTTTTAAACATGTATGACCTTGGCGGGTTTTTTTGTCCCATTTTTAAAAATTTCTAGGTGTATTACTACCTGGGAGTAGATGCTATGCAGGAGCTTTTCCTTGTGGATGAAAACGCCCTCAACAAAGCCCTTATACTCTTTGCTAAAGCCATGGAATTAGACCTGGGAAACGTCTTGCCTGAACTCCAGGTGCTGAAAGGGAAATGCCTTTGGATGAAAAACGAGATGCTGGAAGCTATGGCGTGCTTCAAGCAGGCCATAGAGCTGGACGATGTGGGTTCCACGCACAGAGAGAGCTTCCGGTGCTTAATGGAGCTGCTGCTTACCCTGTATGCTCAGAAGAAGATCAACATGGAGATGCTAATGAAGGAGGTAGAGCTGTGGGTGAAGAAGGCGGAAGAGAAATATCCGAACCAGCAAGTGCAGCAGGAACTTCGACTGGTCTGTCGGCATCACACCAGTGAGGTGCTTGAACTTTCCAAAGCTATGCTGGCTCGAGGGAAGACCGAACTGGTGAAGCTGCTTTTTGAGACCATGAAATGTGATTTTAATCGAGCCAGGCTAAGTGAACGTTCATTCTCTTTTTGACCTGCTCCTATCTCTTCATTTATCTACTACCCTAGTGGTTAAACTCTCCTCATTAGGCAGAAAGAGACTATGTGTTTGGGAGCCATAATGCTTTCTACAGACTCAAATACCTAATGTACCTTTGGAGAAACCAGAGTTATGGTGATCTTCAGAAATGGCTGTTCTTTCTCTCTGTGTCTCTTTTTTTAAAAAAAATAATACATTCAAAAATATGGGTGCATTGAATCTTGTGCATATAGAAGTGCTCGTGCATGATCTTCATTTGCATTGAAGCAAAATCAGTGTACAAGTTTTTAAACCTAAGCAAATTCTTACAGGAGTCAGACAAGATGTCAGAGAAAAGAGGGGAAAGAACAAAGAAATTATGAAAAATAAGTGAAATCTTTAAGTCAGGGAATCTGTACTTTACACAGTGCTGATACTGTACCACAGCCTCCACCTGAAGACTGATTTTGAACGGCAGATGAAAACTGGTTCTTTAGCAATAGAAAAAGCACTTAGACTTATATACTGCTTCACAGCCCACTCTAAGCGGGTTAAAGAGTCAGCATATTGCCCCCAACTATCTGGGTCCTCATTTTATCAACCTCGGAAGGATGAAAGGCTGAGTCAACTTTAAGCTGGCCAGGATCAAACTGCTGGCAGTCAGCAGAATTAGCCTGCAATACTGCACTGTGCCACCGCAGCTGTTTAACATACCTTTAGACAAAAATGTCTGAAGATTTCTGATTTATGCTGCTGTCCCATTTATGCCTCCAGGTAACTAACGCTCCTTCAAACTGAGCCTGACTTCTAATATCTATGTTGTTTTCCTAACCACATAATAGAAGTGATTGACCTGTCTTCTTCCAGGAGTATTTTTGACTTCCCAGTCTAGCTTATGGCTCCTAGTTTTCCTAGTGGACCTTTAGTCTAAGTCCTAAGCAGCTCCACCCTGTTTATCTCTTTGGTATCTACTTGAAGCTATTCTAATAGTAATGTAATGAATACCATTGCAGTTTCCATTGTTTAGCAGATTACAGGTCATTGATGTGGAAAAGGAGTTAAAATGTAGAACAGGGATAGAGAATCTGCAGCCCTCATAGAAAGAACTACACTATCCAGTCGCCATACCAGCCAGTATGTCCATAGGGGATCCTAAGAGTTCAGTAACAGCTGAATTGCCACAGCTTCTTATGTGGGTTAAAAGCCAATTAAGAATCTTGCTCTCTTGATTTGAATGAGATAGCTATTGCTATTCCAAGAAGGGAACAGGTATAGCATTGTGTAGAGAAGACACATTTTGTGCTACCTAGAATTAGATATAAAAAGAAACCTGTTATTTGTTTGATAATTTAGGAACTTTGATGTGCAAGGTTTCTGTTTAGATCTTTAGTGTATGGAATATCTCTTTTGCTTCCGTTTGTAATTTGTAATTCATTTTAAAAACGTCATAATTCTCCAGTGACTCCTTCCCCAAGAAAATCAAGCCCAGGCAGCTGGAACTTTTCACCAACTTGTCAGGAAACAGAGAACATAAAACTCCACTATCATATACTTGAATTAGAATGTATTTATTGGAAGAAAATGATGATTGTAAACATTTTAATTTTATTCAAATGGCAAACTAGCTTGTGCATGTCAACTCAAAAGAAAATTCTATGATCTTCATTCTAGTATCAGAAAATGACAATTGCAGCATAAACTCCATGGATATAAAAATTTCCAGAGCAAAAGATCCCATGGCTAACACAAATGATACTAACCACCCTTTCTTGGTCTGACCTGAGGTGAAAAAATTATAACTCATTATACTTTTAAGCTATATCCATTTAATGTTTAATTATATACAGTACATAAACACAAGAAATATTTTTCAAATTCAAGTTACACCTTCTTGAATATGTAAAACACCCTTCCCCACAGATAATATATGAATCAGCTGTCCAATAGAAGAACTATTATTATTATCACTATTATTATCATCATAATCATCATCATTATTACATTTATATGCCATCCCTCTCCCAATAAGGCAATTCTGGGCAACTTACGAAGAATAAGCTATACAGGCATACCAAGACCAAAAGCAGATCCTGAATTATCTCGCTCATATCATCTTCATCTTGGTGTGAGTGTATCACTCTCCAAATTAAATTAAATATTCAACAGTAATTCATACAGTATAATTTCCCAAAGCCCTATTCAATTCAAAAAGCAATTTTCAGCTGGAATCAAAGAAGTGCTACTATTTGTGTGGGTTTGTGACAAAGAGAATGTGTAGTATGTGCATGCACACATACTTAATTCTTTCTTTGTCAGTTTTATTTATTATTGCATTTATACTTTATCTTATATCTCGTATATCTTTATCTTACGTACATAATAGAATTCTGGCAAACTATATGTTGGGTTCTGGAAGATCTCCAGAAGACATTGAGTAGGACCCAAACTGCATTACAATATAAGAATATATATGCCTTATATATCTTCACTCCAGCCTCCCTAAATTTGATACCTGTCATTTGTTTTAGACTTCAGTTTCATTGCCTCTGTGATTCTCTCTAATTCCGTCCTTTACCAGCATCCAGCATCCCTTGGGATAATTTTTTACGGCCAAGTCAATGTTCTACCTAACAGTTTTTGAGCTGGCAGGAAACTATTACTATGAAATTTGTTTTCGTCATTGGCAGTACTCACCCTGATATAAACAGGGTATTAGAAACTCGTTTTATCCTTATTTATGCCACTTTAAGAACAAATATGGATGCATTACTCAACGTTCTTGCCCTCTTGTCTACCCCCCACCCCCAAAACCACTAGCAGAAAACCTCCCCCAATCTTCTTCTTCCTGTGAGGTGGCAATTGGGAGGAGCAAATTTTCAGACAACGAGGTTGACTGTTTGGCCATCAGCCAAAACTCACTGTAATATAAAAGTACTGTATTTTGCACCGCTGCTTCCACAAAAGGGCAAACTCTCTTGGCTCTCCTTATTACTTGACATGATGGCAATGAGAAAATGATGCTTGCAAAAAAAAAATGCAAAATGTGAATACTTCAGTCTACTAACTCAGTATTTTTAAAAAAAAAATGTTAAAAGGAAAAATGTTAAAAGATAAGCATCTTAAGATGGTGTAAAGGGCAGAGCTGGCTTTTCCTGGAATGTTGATGCATCTTATTCAGTGCTTCATTGTCTGGTCCTCTGTGGAATGCCTTGGTCCATTCTTCAGATGTTCCCTAACAAGAGGACTATCAGGATAAAGGTGGGTAAAACGAGCCAATGCAAAAATAGGGAAGATGTTGCGGTAGGCTGAATAATGGAGAGTGCCAGCTTTGTAGAATCCGGTAGCAATGTCACCCTAAGAAAAGGCAAGGAAGAAATGTCCTGACAAGTCTGTTTATGCTTTAATGCTTTTACATTAAAGGTAAAATCCAAAGCAAAAGGATGTGATGGTTACTCATACAAAGAACAAACCTTTCATACATTGCCCAGAACTTAGTTGATAAATAAGGTGAATGAATCAGGTCTCTAACTTTTTGGAGTCAAGGCAGGCTTCCTATTAGACTAGGCAAGACAATCTCCTCAGGCCAACATTTACTTCATCTTGTAATGTGTAACTCGGTCCTCTAAAAAATATTTTGGCATCTCAGAGCAAATATCCAAATTCTGTATGGCGAAACCAGTTCTATGCAAATGAATTCACAGTTGTAACCATCTTTGTCTTACAAGAAAGCTGCTGAGAGAGGGACATGGGAACACACCTTACCTACCAAATCACACTAATCTTTGTCTCTGGCTTACGCAGTGGTGGGATTCAAATAATTTAACAACTGGTTCTCCACCCTAATGATTTCTTCCAATAACCAGTTTGCCAAACTGCTCAGAAAGTTAACAACTGGTTCTCCCGAAGTGGTGTGAACTGGCTGAATCCCATCACTGGGCTTATGTGCTGTGCCTGTCAGAGTATATTCATTAACTGGCAGAGACATAGTTAACAAAGTCAGCCAAGGGGAGCTGAATTTGGGGCTGACAGTCTGGGCATGGCTTAGCTCTTTGCTCTCAATTCTGAAAGAAAAACTAACTTGGTTGCTTGCTGAAACTGATTCTGCTCTGAGCTGCTGCTGCTTGCTGTTTGTGTTATGTTACGTTGCAAGAATCTACTAATGGTATGGTAAACTTAACTAATGATATGTTTATAAAGAAGTTAATGATCCTGCTGAATCAGTCATCTGTGTGTTTTCTGGACTTGAATTTCTGCCGTTAACTCTAACAGTGCTAAGAGGGTGAATGTTTCCATGTTTTCATTTAGATGGATATCTCCCAAGGAAGCTTTTAGTTCAATGCAAGGGAGAGAACAGCAAACATTGATAGGTTTTCCACTCACCCACCCCTATTGCCATATTGCTGTCAATTTTCATGCATTATAGATGTTGCATTAAACCATCAGTGAGGGAACATCTTTCTGGCAGCATTACACCGAAAAGAAAACATGAACCATCTCAGTCTCTTAGTACTTGCATCTGTACATTTGGAAGACCTGATGGATCCTGTCCTGTTCTTGTCAGAGGCACTTCCAGTTTGAAAGGATTAGCTGGTGACATCACTGTTGCCAGGGGGACCCTTGTGGGGGGCTCCTTTCATGTCCCCATGAAGCAACAGCACCCATGTTTCAAACACAGGCTTGTTAACCTCCAACCCAATGTCTTAACCAGGGGTCTCCAAACTTGGCAACTTTAAGACTTGTGGACTTCAACTCCCAGAATTCTCCAGCCAGGTTTGGAGACCTCTGGTCTTAACCATATGAGCTACTGTGGTCTATCTGATTGGGATAAAACAACAGCTATTCACCCACCTGAGGCCAGTCCCCAATGGCTTGCTGCTTGTCAATCAAAACTTGGACCCCCCTTTCTAGAACACGAACATCGGGATACCTGCAAAGCAAATGAAATAATGGTCATTAGTTCTGACAGCATAGACTCAGTCAGAAAGTCCTATTTGGGTTTCTAGAACAGGAGCTATTTGTATTTTTTTTTTTTTGCTAAGATAAGTTAGTAAGATCAAGATGAAAATGTTTCCGCCAAAACAACAACCCTCTAGTCTAAAGCTTTGGGTTATAATTCTTTTCTCCACTCTTGGAGACCAGAGATTATACAGAATTTCTAATGTGAGGCCAGGAGAATTCCAACAAAAGAAAAAAATTGAAAAGTTTCATGTATCTTTTGGAAATTGGTTGGCAAATTAAAACATCTAAAAGGATTACTGCCTAGACCAGGGGTCCCCAAACTTGGCCACTCTAAGACTTGTGGACTTCAACTCCCAGAATTCTCCAGCCAGCATAGCATAGAGTTGAAGTCCACAAGTCTTAGAGTGGCCAAGTTTGGAGACCTCTGATCTAGGATCTCCATGCATTATGATCAGTTTGGAGCCTGAGAATCACCCTTGGCGAGGAGGAGCATACTTCAAAATATAGAGGGTGGGACCAGACAAAAATTAAACTTCATTTCATTTTATTTAACCTCCAACCCAGTGTATTAACCAGGGGTCTCCAAGCTTGGCGGATGGAGGTGGATGGAGAATTCTGGGAGTTGAAGTTCACAAGTCTTAAAGTGGCCAAGTTTGGAGACCTCTGGCCTAGGCCTAATTTGTGTTCCTTGATATATATTAGCTTTTCCTCCACATCAGGGTTCCCTAAAAGAAACACTGTTAGGTCTTTGCACTTACCTAACAGCCATCAGCCCCAACAGAGCCCACGCAGTTTGGTGGACCTGGGAAATGGTATGCTGAATATATTTGCGAAACTTGTAGGATTCAAATTCTTCTCCCCAGCCGCCATCTTTCATTTGTTTGGAGACCAGCCAGGCACAGGCCCTGGTTACTTCGTTGCATGCCAGTCTGAAAAATACGACACATACTAATTTTCTTTTAAAAAATGATACAGTTGATAACAGGAGTTGGACTAGATGACCTCCAAGGTCCCTTCTAATGCTATGATTCTGTGATTTGATCTGTTACATTATGGGACTGGGTTGCTTCCAAGTGAATTTCAAGCAAGCAACACAAGGTTTAGGGTATGGATGAAAGAAGAAACTACCAGTAAAAGGATTTATTTTTCTTTATATATAATAAAGAAAGTGGCAGGAAATCAGAAATATGTAACACTAAAAAATGGCTTTATCTTTTGCATGATTATTTCCTATCTCACTGTTTCATACCTTCAAACTTTCACAATATTCCTCTCCAAACTCGGAAACTAAATGAAAGAACGGAATTATAGAATAACATGCTTTTAAAAGTGCTGTTTGTTAAACAGTTATTCTTCCTTACCATACCGTTTTGTGTACACCACACCAAAACATGTGTGCTTTTTTTTTGTTCATTTATTTGTTTTGTATTTGCTGCCTGGTACAGTTATCTCTATTAAAGAGAATCAGATTTTTCTAAAGCTTATAAAAATATGAAATATGGGAAGGGCCATGTGCTACCCAGATTATTTTAGGGAGTTAACACTGAATTTTCAACAAAGCAGAATAAAGTTATGTCCCCTTGTCTCATTCCAAAGTAAAAAATCGAGGAGCTATCAGTCAATCACTGACCCTAATTTTCTGCCAGAAAAGTAACTTACTTACCCATTATGGTAAATGTATCCCAAACATGCAAATGCTTCCAATGCAAACCAGGTGCCATATGTGAAACACACACCCCATCTCCTGCAAGGAAAAGAGATCCATGAACCATTGAAATATATTAAGGTCAATGGTTTTTGAACGAAGTACATATAGTGTGATGGTTCAACTAGTTGGGAGGCTTTTATACCTTTAAACCCACTATCTCCTACAAAGTCTTCATCAAAAATGGGCCCTGATCCCCTGCTGCAACCCTCCACTTGGTTCAACTTGCACAGCACTATAACTGAACATGTTTTTAGTCATTGTGTCTTAACGAAGGATGTTTTTAAATGCCCCTTATGCAAAACACTGGATGAACACAACCAAAAGAGATGCCTTCCTTTTGTGAAAGGAATCGTTTTCAAATTTTATCAGCACAGTGCAACTAAAATCACTGAGTAGCAATGAGAAGCAACTTACCCTAGCCAAGATCCATCTGGTTTCTGTGTATTACGACAATACTGCAGGGCCTTATGGATAGTATCACTGCAGAGAAAGAAACCAAAGGGTTTGGTTATGATAGAACTGAAAATCTTCTGGATGGAATTTTAATCAAAGTGGGTCACCAGAAAGAATGGCATTCAGTGATCAAGGCTCTAAAACTTGGATACCAAGGACTGGCTTCTAAACCAGGAGAAGTTTGAGATTCACTTGCTCATTGTTCAAACGTACAGGTAGTCTTTAATTTGCAACAATTAATTTAGTGACGTTTGAAGTTATAATGGCACTGAAAAAAGTACCTAATGACCACTTTTCACACAACTACTGCAGCATCCCCATGGCCATGTGATCAAAATTCAGATGCTTGGCAAAAGTCTCATATTTGTGACTTGTGCAATGTGTGAGCGTACCTGAAGGTTGTACCAAAATGTGTGGGCATTTGAAGATTACTACTGAATATAAAGTAATTGGAAGGTTGTGACACTTGCTATCTAATCTAGGCAGAATTCCAGGAATATTCCAGAGTTGCCTTGCAGCGAGATGGGTAGCAAACTAATTAATTAATTATTATAAAGAGGGAATTTATATTTTCAAACTATAGTCTTAAAGTAATAGTTCCCTCTTTTCCCTTGAATCTACTCCAGAATAAGTAACAGAATTGCAACTATGATCTTTTCAGTAATGGGATTTCACTTCTATGTTTTATCTACGTTAAATCACTAGTGAACTATCCAATCTTTAAATCATTTTCTGATGGGGAAGGTATTTGTGTTTTAAATATTTAAGGAGATGTCACTTAATTGCTAACTTTTGGGGCACTCTTGAGCAGTATTAAAGTGTAATCTATTAGTCCTTGAAATGGCAGAAAAGTATAGCGGCACACACAGTTTTGCCTTCATCCCTCATCTCTTTTTGCCTCAATAGTAAGACGTTGCTATCCTTGCTGTTTTAATGAGTGACGAGTTAAGAAAAGTGACTGGTAGATACCGATTAAGAGTTGGAAGGGACCTTTAGGTCATCTAGTCCAACCCCCTTGCCCAAGCAGGAGACCCTACACCATTTCTGACAAATGGCCGTTCAATCTCTTCTTTTTGTTTGTTTTTTTGAAAATTTTATTTGGGTTTTCACAAAAAAAAAAACCCCATAATACAAATAAAACATCTTTTTTTGAAAATAGCATGGTCCCGGGTTACACTTCTTCATAGAGACACAAACTCAATTTCATGCTCACTTTTATGTTCTATTCCATATCTTATTACTGTTTTACATTTACTGCATAGTTTTTCTCCTCTCTTAATTTTCTCAATTTTATTTTAATTATCTCAATTCAAATTATTATATTTATACTTTTGTCTGTCCTGTTTCAATTTCATATTTTCTTTTCTCATTAAACAAATTTTCTCCTGTAGTTACTAATTGGAGTATGACACCTTTATATCTTTTAATTTTATCCATTTAACTCTTATTTAAGCTTCAATATATACCTTGAAGTTATAACATTCAATATAATACATAACTTCCAGTCGAATTCTGCTTGGTACATTCTTAAAATACACACTATATTCTTAAAAAGTGATTATAAATATATGTAATTAAAATGCTCATTCCATTCCAATTCAGTTCTATTATTAATATTCATTAAAATCTTAACATCTTTAACATTTCTTTTCAATTAAATATCACACTTCCTTGGGAACACTTATAAGCTTTCCATAATTAATTTTTTTCCCCTATTTCTCTTCCCTTATATTTTATAAAACATTAAATAATTTAAATGTTCCCATCCTTTCCTAATTCAATTCTCTCATTCATTTTATTTCCTTTATTTATTAACAAACATTTCACTAGATTATAATAACTGTTTTATCCATCTTTTTAATCATACATTGCTTCATATTTTCTAAAATTATTTTTAATATAACAATACTATCTTATGTACCTTTGCAGAATCCCTTTTTCAATTAAATTTTCACCTATTATCTCTAAATAGGCCCTGTTTCTCCATATCTTGTTTCTGTCCTTTATAACTTCTTTTCCTTTCCTTCTTCCCTCTCTTCTTCTCCCTCCCCTTTTTACCCCCTTGTCTCTCTACCACTAATTCTCTCTTCTGTATTCCCCTCTTCTGTTGCTTTCTAATATTGTACTTATTTTTCAAACTATTCTTCCTTTTCTTGGTTTTTTTTTCAAATCTTAAACTTTTCATTCTCTTTCCCCACTTTCCTTTTTCCCCCCACATAAAATTACTTGTTCATTAAAGATGGCTTCTTCTTTGTCCCAATCTTCTTGTTCTGCAGGCATTTCTTGTTGTTTCTCATAGTTCCAGATCTCTATTTCTAAGAATTGAAATATGAAGCCAAAAGAACCTCTCCCTTCTTGTGCATCTTCTTTGTACTTTTTAAGTTCCATTTTCAGTTCTTCTAAAAGTAGTGCCATTTTAAACACTTTTAATTCTAGGCAGTCTCCTCCCTTTTTTCCAGATCCCGCCTTTTTATTCTTTTTCTCCTTTCCTGCTTTTAAAAGCTTTTAAGTATCCAGAAATCTTTATTATCCCTTTGACATTTTATTTTCAGCTTAAATGCCTATTGATGTCAAAGTGGATTTTTTTTTTTTCAATTTCTTATTTAAATCTCTTAGCTGTCAGTATAGGGAAAGGGAGAGAAGAAGAAAAACCAAATCCTTTCCCTTTTCTCTCTCCTTCGCTGCTTCAAAGTCTTCTTTGGGAACAATGTTACTTTTTTTTTAGTTTAAATTCCAGGGTACCTTAGTTGTTGCTTGTGCAGTTTAACCCGGTCAACCAAAACTTTCTCTTCTTATCTTCCTCCTGCACATTCTTTTCCGGTCGAGTTCTTCTTTGAGGTGGCCATTTCTGACCACCACTGCAACTGCCTTCGGGAAAGGGAGTAATGGCCAGCTGAGGAGGAGAGATGCGGCTTCCTCAACCCTGCTGGCAGTCTCCCCCCTCTTCACCACCTCTACAGGGTAGCTTAGCCCCCAAACCAGCAGGCTCGGGGCACTCCAGTGGTGAGCACGGACCAAAACCATGCATGATCGCAGTTTTGGTCTGTCCATGAAGAGGCTCAAACCGGAATCCGGCCGTTCAATCTCTTCTTGAAAGCCTCCAGTGATGAAGTCCCCACAACTTCTGAAGGCAAGCTGTTCCTTTGGTTGATTGCTCTCACTGTCAGAAAATTTCTAGATTCCTCGTTTGTCTCCCCTCCCACTGAGAATCCCTTGCCAGGAGGGAAAGCAATCATCAATAATTCTTCTAATGTTTGTTGGTGATGTGCAAGTTTGAGCAAGTATTCAGAAAAACTATTTAGTCACTTTTCAAGTTGCCTGGGTGTCAAGTCAAGCTATTGGCTAACACAAGTCTAGCATTCTTTCAGTGTTCAAAAATAGCCAGGCTGAGACATCAAAGTCTCTAGAATATATCAAGTACAAATAGTTACTGGGATACTTATGGGTTGTGGTTCGCAGGACATGAAAATGAACCATAAAAAAAATTCACACTGAAATTTGACAGTGATTTCAGAATGTGAAGGCACATGGCCGCAAGATTCACCAAACAGGCAATGTGGATCAGATTTGTAAGTACATAATTATTAAACTCTAAGCAATTTACAACACTGATTTCCTTCTTAGTTTCAGGGGAATCTCCTCTGTTTCAGCTACCTGATTTCCTCTGTCCGGTGATCTGGGAATTTCTTCTGGAAAAGTTTCAATCCCTGCATTACGGATGAGGTACATTCAATATAGGTGTGATCTACCATACAGTCAGCTGGAAAACATAAAGAAAGTTTTTGAAGTACAGGTGTCCTATTGTTTTGTATTAATGATCTAGGCTACAATAATAACACCAATAATTTAAAAACATTTCACTGAAAAATAGCAAGCCTAGTGATGAAAACAAGGTGAGAACAATAGTTAACTTTTCTTCTTAAAGCCTGCAGGAAAATAGACTTTATGTTCTCTTTTTGCAAAAGAACTATCAAGTATCATGCCCATGGTATAGCTTCTACTTTAGAAAAGTCTCCACCTTTCTAGTCAAAAATCATATTTTTCATGCAGGAAATTACTATTCAAAGAAGTGTGACAAGAGCAGTAACTCCAGAAGCAAGGCTGTTCAAATGACTATAGGTACTCTTTGGCTTACAACAGTTCATTTAGTGACTCTTTGACATTAAAACAGCACTAAAAAAAAGTGGCCTATGACCATTTTTCACACTTATGACTGCTGAAGCATCCCCATCGTCAAGGTATTTACATTCAGATGCTTGACAACCGGTTCATATTTATGACGGTTGCAGTGTCCCAGAGTGATGCAATCCCTTTTTGTGTTACAACCGCGTTGCTAATTTTAACAACTCAAATGATTCACTTAACAAATCTGGCAAGAAAAGTCGTAAAATGGGGCAAACTCACTTAACAAATTTCTCACTTAGCAACATAAATTCTGGGATCAATTGTGGTCATAAATTTAGGACTACCGGTACAGATTTATTGTGGGTACAAAGGAACTCGAGGCTGATAACATGTTCGACTCTTTCCTTGGGCTCAGCATGGTCATCTACTACTAGTAAGATCTGAAACCTGATTCCTTAAACTCATAAACATGCATAATGACTTGCACAACCTTATATGTCTATCTGCATTTTAATCAAGAGAGTAATCATTGCGCTGTGATCTCACTATAATTTCTGGACCATCTCCAAGGCAAGCTTGAGGAAGCTAGGAAACTCAAACAGGACACTTTAGCAGCAATGCTGCAGTATCTTAGCTTTTCTGTGAGCAAAGAAACCAACTGACTTCATTTTGGCTACATTAAGGGAGTATCAATACAACAATTAGACAAAGTATTGTGATTCCTCAGCTCAGTTCCATTAAATGACTTAGGAGTATACAGGAAGTCCTCATTTAGTAACCACAACTTAGACCAGCAACTCATCAAGCGAAGTGGTCTCTGAGTGAAACCAAACTGTGCTTTTGGTCTTATTTCAGCTTTTCTTTCCTTGACAGGCCTGCAGTAGTCATGAATGCAAGGACTGGTTGAAAAGTTAGTTTTTTCATCACAATTGTAGCTGAAAATTGTTGTTGCATGAGTCAGTTATTAAATGATGATTTCCTGTGCTTGGTTTTAAATGATGTTCACGTCTTTTGGTTTAAATAGCCTTTTTTGCTCAAAGGGTTTGAGAGATTTCCTTACTTCATCTCATTTTCCTTCTTTGAATTTGAATCAATTACTATTTTGGACTGGACTGCCTATTGAGTTCTTCAGACACAGTTCCTGGTTTTGATTGACTTGTGTCTGTTAGCACAGGTTGAGAGTTCAGGTGATCTCTCAATCCAGAATGAAACTAGCAGGATTTACTCAATTCCTAAGCCTGCATCCATGCCCTCAAAACTAGCTACATTCCAATCATGGTCTCTATTCTGAATTTTGCACATAACACCTGATAATTTCTTCTTACCATAGGTCTCTGCACAGTTTATGGCCTCTAATAGCCAGCTTCCCCGTCTGGTTTCATAAGAGGAAAAACCACCATCAGAATTTGTCATGTTCAGGAGCTGCATATTTATAGAAATAGATGCAGGAAGAAACAGGTGGCATGGCATTAGAAGTGACCTTATTAGACACCTCCCACAAAAATTAGGCACAAATTCGAGGCTCATCCTATCATTACACAGCTGATTTGAATAAAAAAACACACAGGAATAATAGCAAGTTTTTAGCAGGCCCAGTTGTGTGTACAATGATGGATGTTATTCCATTGTCAATATCAGAATATTGTAAAATTTCGCTTTTGAAAGAAGGCATCACCTTCTCCTTTACATCAAGCAACAAAACATCTTGGTTAATCTATATACACATAGAAGATGTCCTAAAACTCAAGAGTAAGTAGATCACCATTCTTTGTCAGATCTGTGTATCTGCCATTCTTCAATGGAAGAAGATGGGGGGGGGGGGAGTTGGTACAAGTAATCCTTTTTGATGTAACCTGAATATATTAAATCTTTTATTGATTCTGTATAACTGCACATGATATACAACTGGAGGACTGGAGCTAGATGTCTAGAAACTTGTCACCTCTTGAAGAGATAACAAGATGAGAAGGGACCATAAAAATTCCAGCTCTGGAAGATACCACTAGGAACTCTTCTAAGATACATTCCCAGAGAAGGGAAGGGGGGAACTAACATGTTGGTTCTTTGTTTGACTAAATCCACATCTAAATAAGGGGAGGGATTGTAACTCCCTTTATCTATTACTATATGCCTGGAAGCATCGTAGATTCTGCTTTGACTAGTGCTGGGATCATTCCCTTTCAATAAAGCAGTGGTCCCCAACCTTTTTTGTGCCACGGCCCAGTACCGGCATCACAAAATGATCCGCGGCCCGGTACCGGCATCAGCACGCATGACAAGGCAAGGCGAGCCAAACGACCGGCCAGCCAGCCGTCCCCCGCTTCTCCCCGCCACCTTCAACTCCTCCTTTGTACCTTGTCAATGGGCTTCACTTCGGGACGGCTTCGGGACGGCTGCTCGGCTCGCTTTGCCTTGGGTGCTGAAAGAATCCTCGTGCCTTAGTTTCGTTCGAAGCCCCCACCTCCATGAAACTAAGGCGCGAGGATTCCTTCAGGACCCAAATGCCGCTTTCCAACCGGAAAAGCTCACCCGGAAGCACTTTCTTGTCAAACAAGATGGCGGCGCCCAGCAAATCGGCGGCCCGGTAGGAAATGTTCCACGGACCGGTACCGGTCCATGGCCCGGTGGTTGGGGACCCCTGCAATAAAGAATTCCTTTTGAAATGCTTATTTCCAGAAGTTCATTCTTTTCGAGTGAAGGGGAAAAGTCCAGTGCTTACATTCTTATTGTTTATATATTGCCTATTCAATATTTGTAGTTACTTATGGATATTTGATGTGGAGGAAAGTCGAGGGCAGATCGTTTAGTCCTTCCTTTAAAAAAATGTCCTAATTTTGAGTAGTTCGGAGAACTGGCAAATACCACCTCTGACTGGCCCCGCCCCATCTATTCTCAGCCTCCCGAGTCCCAGCTGATCGGCTGGGTCTTCTTTTGTTTGCCTGCACAGTAGAACGGAGCTGGAAAGAAGGTTAATGGGGTAGGGAGGGAATGGGATTTTGCAGTAATCTTCCCACAGGAGTGGGGAGGGAACAGGGATTTTACAGCGTCCTTCCCCTGCCATGCCCACCAAGCCACGTCCACCAAGCCACGTCCACCAAGCCATACCAAGCCCACAGAACTGGTAGTAAAAAATTTTTGAATCCCACCACTGTTAGAAACCCCATTAAGCCCAATCCCATGTTATCTCCTTGGGGGTTCCCTGGACCCACCACATTGATGCCATCAAAGAGACGTTGTGGAGCTATGCGATCTTCTATAAAAGGACATTGTTCTTCAAGTAACATCAATGCCTTAATTGCTTCAGCAGTGCAGTCACTGACCATCCAGTCGTTGTCCCGATTGCTGAAGGGGAATCCTCCCTAGTGATTTTGAAAAAGACATTAAGAAGACGTTTCTTTGTAGATTGCTTGCTTCCATAAAAGAAAAGGATCTATATTTCAGCTCTAGACTCAGTTCTGGAAGTTACTTGAGGAACTGTGTCACCCCACTGGGATTGTCCCATCCCACTTGTGCCAGCAGAGGAGGCATGTTGTGGGTCCCATTGGCCCGATTATTTTGGCTGGCAGGGTCCAGCAGGAGGGCCTTTTCTACTTTTGCTCCTGCCCTCAGGAACATCTTGTGAGATTGGCCCCAACCCTCTTTCATTTTGGCCTAAAGAACTGGCTCTGGGACCAGTGGGGAAACAGCACAGTGGTTGGTCAAGTAACAACCCCTCCTCCTATTCTGCCCCACCCTCCCTATATGTCCTTAGATTTTAGACTTTGGTTTTAATTTATGTTTTAATGTAGATATATATTTTATGACTGTAAGCCACCCAGAGTTACCTTACGGTATGATGGTGGTGGGGGGGGAATGAATGAATGATTGAATAATAAAGTATTGGTGCAAGTATCTTTGATCCTCATCTATTAGTATGGAATTTAGGTGGCACCGTATTCTTTATTAAATTTATTATCATTTAATACAATCCAATAACTCTTAACTTAAGCTTCAGGGAGAGTTACTTTAATGCATTTGAACCTTTTAATATGTTATATACTTTATTGCACAGCTGTTTCTTAAACTTCTGTGCTAGAACTCTGTCAGAATACAGCTGAAAGGAAAGAAATAAAAGCAAGCAAAACATTTAGAACATGGTTTGGATTCTTCCTGAAGGATTTAGCCAACTTGATAAAAACTAATGAAGAAATTAATTTTTCTTTCACTCAAATTAATTAAGGTTTTTAGGAAAGGCATTTCTGGGCCACAAATATTTATTTAAAGCAGGCATCCCAACTCCCAGACTGGTCCACGGCCAATCAGGAACCAGGCTGCTCAAGAGAACAAAGCCCCGTCTGTGCATGCACAGGATCCAGATAGCGCATGAAATCATCTCTCCTCCAGTCTCCACCACGTCCATAGAAAAACTGCCTTTCATAGAACCATTCCCTGGTGCCCAAAAGCTTGAGGGCTGCTGATTTAAGAGAAAAGGTGAAAAGCTACTAAGCGTCAAATATTTATTTCTCTCTTCTTTATAGCTTCTACTAGTTTGTATCCTTTCTATTGGCTATGATTTTGAAAGTACCTTGTTCATTTGACGATAGTATCTCTGGTAGTTGGGTGGATTATCTACAATCTAAAGAAGACATTAATAGCATCTTAGTCCAAGGCAATTTACAATGGCAAAAACAAAACAAAACATATTTTGGTTCATCTGACATCATGTCCATGCAGCAAAGTGAAGGCTGTTACTCAGTGCCAGGCCCCTGCTACCCACAGGTTTGTGAGGCATATTTCAGTAATGATTACTTTTTTTCAAGTCAGTCCTGATTCTCACTGATTCAAGGTTCCCTCGGCAATATTTCTGGAAATGGTTTGCTATTGACTTCTTCCTAATTTGAGACTGACTAGACCCAACTCACCTATCTAGTTTCATGCTTAAGGCAAGTCTAGAACTCATGGTCTCCCGGTTTCTACTGTAGCCTGGTACCTTAACTATAATACCACATTGGCTCTCTAAGGGTTACTTATATAGCATATATAAATTTGCTTTGGTGTGTTCAAGTTCTGTTTTCTGAGTTGTGAGGAAAAGATCCCCGGGTATAGAAATGCATGGTTTCAATCAAGGAGAGGACATTATGAACAACAAATACTGTATTCCCAATAGTATAGTTTTATTGCACTTATCAAAACTGTAAATTATGACCAGAAGCCATTGAGAGATGGGTAATCCAAAGGAGCAGCTGGCTATTCAGTATAAACAATTTTAAAACTGGATCTGGAATTAGCGGATGCCTTAAAAGTATTTGCTTACCTCAAAACAGCCACCATGTATTATGTATGACATGATTTCTAAACAACTGCAATTACTACGCCCTGCTCTTGTGGGATCAAATTGATGGCACTCCTCTAAAATCAATATTAATGTCTAGTATATGTTATTCCAAGCCAGCTTCTTACCTGAGCACATTTCAAAAATGAATGAGCTTTTTTCAGACAAGTATTGTACTCAGGGTCATTGTGGACACCAGCCTAGAAAATGAAAAAAAAAAATTATAAAATAGATAAATGTCAACAGATTAAAAAATACAGGCCTCTTACAGGAAAGCAAAAAAAGTTTATACAGCATTTTAATGAAATGCATGTTTTTCAATAATAAGTGAGTAGCAACCATGAATGAAACTTTTCTTTATTAATGCTCTGTTTACTGAACATGTTTCACATAAATATTTCTATATCAATAAGATTCCTGTTTCTTAGAAATTATGTGAAAGTGACATGACTATCACGAGCCAGGACAATTCAAAAATAACTTGCAAATATTTGCATTGTGTCTATCTCCCAATCTGGTGCCTCCAGATATTGTTTAGATTGCAACTCCCACAAAATCAATCTATTTGATCAATGATCAAAGATCTGTAAGTCCAAAACAGATGGAAGCCATCGAAGTATCTCTTCCTGGAGTAAATAAAGCTTTGCCTGAACAGTTATTGAACACTTTTCTTCCATTAATGCAATCTGCCCTATCCTTTTGACATTGTCTCCTCAGATCAGAAACTGTCAAATATCCTGATTGTCTCTTTAAACACTTCTTAGTCTGGAGATGAGATTGAGATATATTACATATGTTAATGGCCAGAAACTTTGAAAAGCTGTCTTTTTAAAACTATGTTAAGCCTTCCTAGCACGACAATTAAACAAGATTATAATAGGAAAATATACCTCTAGAAAACCCAGAACTGTAAATACAGCATCCCAGGTTTGAGATCCCATCACCTTAGGTAAAAGAAATAGACATAGTTTAATTTTTTATTTTAAAAAAAGACAAATTCCTCTTTTTATTCATCAATATCATCAAGTCCAACTTGTCCACTCAATGCAGTAATCCATATTAAAGCATCCCTGATAAATTCTATTTTCCACTTAAATACATGTAACAAAGGGTAGTCTACTGTCTTTTTAAAAAACTCGCTGTTTTTCAACTTTGGCAATTTTAAGATATGTGGACTTCAACATCTAGAATCCTTAGACAGCTTTGCTGGCTGAGGAATTCTGGTAGTTGAAGTCTACTCATCTTAATATGGTCAAATTTGAGAAACAGTGCTCCTGCTATTGAGAAAATTTTCACAGCACTCAACCAAAATCTGCTACCTAGGAACTCATGTTCTGAATTAGGCCATACTTAAAAATTTACAGTGCTTCCACATTAATGCCGTGTCAAACATCCACTCCTCTTCAAGTCTAGACTTTTGCAGAGTCAAAACAGAGCAAGTGACAATAAGAGGAGAGAAATCCTTAGGTTTTTTTTCTTTCCGTCTCCATATTAACATGATCTAACTAAAACTGATGATAACATTTTACACATTTAATGAAGTAGACTAGCGTTCACAGAAGCCATAATAAAAAGTTAGTACTTCAGAGGCCCTCAAAGCTGTTTATATTTCTACATGGTGCAAATTTACCTTTTGATCCAAAATCGGGGATCAGGCTACATATTGTTTGAGTTCTCAGAATGCCCCAAAATAATATGCCATATCAAATACACCATAATGGCTGGGTTTACAAAACCTCCTAAACAACGTACAAATTATGGTTTAGATCACTTATGAACATTATCATGGTAAAAAAGGTGCATGGGGATCATCAAAATAATCAATTTTTTTATTTTTTCTTTAAAAAACTATTGCTGTAAAAAAAATTGAGTCCAGCCTGCAAAGCAATAAAAGTATAGATGGGCTTTAACAATAACTAATTTTCTTTCCACAATCTTACCTTCATTATTATACCTTCGTCTGTCAACCTGCATAGATGTATAAAAAAGACAGATTATAGTATGTGCAAAGGCTAGAAGACTAATTTTCAGGGCATAGTATGGGAGTATGATGGCATGCAGAAGATTTAAAAATAGGAAGTGGAAGATAACACCTTTCTAAAGTCTCTTTTCATGAATGAAACTTCTCTGGAATTAACAGTATTAACAGTGGCAACTCCGGTCTCTTGGGGAAATGGGGAAGATTATGTCTCAGTGATAGATTAAAAATCCTAGATTCCCCATCAAGCAAGGCTGTTGATAATGATTGATGGGGTTCTCAAGTGTTGCAGCTGGAGGACTTAAAATAGTGGAAAATAGGGTGGATTAGACAGGAGATGACTTGGTCTTTCATTGGCATCTGATCTTCCATTGTCCTCATGATCCACAAACACCTCTCTTATATTTCACATGTGGTGAAAACAGGTTTTGAAAGGGTTTGGCATCAGCAATCTTACCAAAGATAATCATAGATTCTGGAGACATGCTCTTGAAAGGCTGCAGAATTGGGACCATCCACGTGCCATGAGATCAACACATGGAAGGGTTTGCAGATCTACAGAATGAAAAAGTTCCATCAGGCATTTTGCAACCCCCACAGTCCTCCAGAGAACAGAATAAGTAAGTTCCAAGCATAGCTCTCTGTCCGAAAGGAAACTAAGCCAAGAGCTCACATGTGGAGACAACTGACTCCATCTGAAGGAATTGTATTCCAGAAACAGTCATTTCTGTCTGGTATTTTCAAAAGACCTACCGGGCTAGAATTAGTAGAGTTTGAGAATATATCATCTGCCTTGATTTGTTCATAGATCTCAGCGGTGGCTTTCTTTCTGAGACTGGTGAGGTGGTATCTATCGTACAAATTGAAGAGGGCTGCAAAAAGGAGCAAAGAGACATTCTAGAAGCAGAGCCGTTAGATCAGTGGTTGCCAACCAGTGGGTCGTGAGAAAATTTTGGTGGGTCACAGGGAAATCTCACCCCCAGAGCACCCCCACAAAGCAATTAATCCAGGCTGTGCAGAAACACAAGGCTGCGCCGCCCACATGGCCCACCGGAACCCTCCCTGCCACTCACTTCTTACCTGGTAAACTTGCCTGCTAAATTTCTATTTTTCCTTTTTCTGACATCATCTGTTCTGCTGTGCTGAGAGATTTAGATTAGCTAGGAAGCAGGAAATGGTTGGTTTTCTTGTTTTCTAGCTAGTCTTTAAATCTTCAGCTCAGCACAGCCGAACCTCCCTTAGGACTGAAGGTTTGCTTGCAAGCAAATTCACTTCAGACTCACAGCAAGCAAATATGAGAGACTGAGCTAGCCGATGGCAGATAGATAGATCACTGAATGATTCTGTGAGCAATTCAATCTGCCTGCTTTGCCTGATTTTGGGTAAAAGTTGCTCATTTTTTAAATAAAAAATTCAATATTTACATGCACGGTGTGTTGTGAGTTAATTTTGTGAGCTTGCTTGCTAGCAAATGTTATGAGTTTGCTTGCAAGCAAATTTCATGTGACAGACTGAGCTAGTTAATGGCAGATAGATAGATCTCTGAATGAATCTGTTATTCTGTGAGCAACTCAATGTGCCCGCCTGCTTTGCCTGATTTTGGGTAAAAGTTGTTTTTTTTAATAAAAAATTCAATATTTATATAAATATTTATAATATTTACATACAAGCCATGCCCAGCTAGTCACATGACCAGCAAGCCACACCCACAGAACCAGTTAGTGGTCCCTGGGATCTAAAATTATGAGTTTGGGGGTCCCTGCGGTCCAAAAGTTTGGCAACCTCTGCATTAGATGGATTACAGTTCTACCTTCAGTCTGAGTTCATGGTTTAATTGACTGATTATGTGCCATCAAGTTTTTTCTACTTGCCATCTAGGGCAGGCAGGGGTGTCAAACTCAAGGCCCACAGCCAGATCTGGCCCCAGGGTGCTTAGATCTGGCCCATGGGACCACCCTGGAAACAGCAAATGACCAACCCGCGGTGCCTCTGCCAGTGAAAACAGAGCTTGGGACGGCTGTACGTGGCTCTATTTTTGGCTGTGACAGCCTCCTGCAGCCCTCTGCCAGTGAAAAAGGAGCTCAGGAGGGCCGCAGGCTCCATTTTTGCTGGCAGGGGGCTGTAGGATGTTGAGCTGGCCACACCTATCTTGGCCACACCCACCCCAGCCATGCCAACTCATTCCCCCCAAGGTCAAACGCAACCCTGATGTGGCCCTTAATAATCCGGGGCGTCTGGCATTTAAAGAGTCCAACTGCAGCTGGTCTGTTTCTGTGACTGACGAATCGAGGAAGTTTCAACTGGAAACACAAGCCCTTAGAAGCTGTACTGTTCTGAGTGCCACTTACCAAAAAGAACATCCAGGACCAATGTATGTGGTGCCTGTAAATCAGCCTCATAAATATATTTCTTCTGGGCTGGCCAATCAATGCTCGAGTAATCCTCCACGTAAAGTTCCTAAAGTAAAAGAATGAAAAGACATGAGACTGGTCCACTTGCTAAAACATCTTTAACCTGTGTACAACTGTGTTTTACATATGTATATATACACACACATAATGCTAACCCTTTAAAAATATTTGTGTGGTTGGAACAACCTCGTGCTTTCCCCTAATGATTCTCTCTGGTTCTCTAGGCAGGAGAAATTACAGCTGGTACTGTAATTCAGTTAAATGAATTACAGTATGTATCCTGTAATGATTAATGTAATATATTAATGTATTCTGTAATTATTACTCTGTTGTTCTGTATGTACACTGAGAGCTTAAGCACCAGAGGCAAATTCCTTGTGTGTCTAATCACACTTGGCCAAATAAAGTATTTTGTGCTGTGCTATGCTATGCTATGCTATGCTATGCTATGCTATGCTATGCTATGCTATGTTATGCTATGCTATACTATGCTATGCTATCCCTAAAAAAATATGAGATTTGGATGTATAGCCATTTGGATGTGTTTGTTTTCACATATCAGATCCACTGAGGATCCAACTATTAGAACTACAATATCAAAACTATAGTAGCTTTTGCTAAAGCCTACAGCAACTTTAACATTAATGATCTGTTCTTTCTTCGACATGGCAGTCCATGGAGGAAAAAATCAAGCGTTTTCACACACACAAAAAAAAGGAAATAGTAATACAACAACAAACTGGAAATAATAAAATTAACCAGATTATGGTTTCCTGCATGAAGTGGATTATGATTTGTGAAAGCCCCAGTTTTAAAATGCCATAAAGTTCAAAGAAGAGATGAACTAATTCTCTTTTTGTCCTGTGTTCACAGAAATCTCATCTAATGTCATAGACATGCTTTCAAAATTTAAAAGGTATATATATATATATATATATATATATATATATGTGTGTGTGTGTGTGTGTGTGTGTGTGTGTGTGTGTGCGCGCGCGTGCGCACGTGCGCGTGCGTGTTTTCTTAAGCTTTGTTCAGGTATTTTCCCATGTCATTATAGTTGTGCTTTTAAAGTTGTAGCAACGTTTCGGCAGAATCTCATCTGCCATCATCAGGCTTCTGTACTGTGTTCGTTTGTGAGTCAGTCTGTGAAACAACTGTAAAAGTCTGACTGATGATGGCAGATGAGATTCTGCCGAAACGTTGCTACAACTTTAAAAGCACAACTACAATGACATGGGAAAATACCCAAACAAAGCTGAATGCCATACATGTAAGTACCCGCGAAAACTTAAGAATATATATATATTTATATATATATATATATATGTATGTATGTATGCATGTATGTATGTATGTTATTTTCAGTGTTTTGTTTTTTAGCCAAGTTTAGGTTTAGACAAATCTAAGTATTCACAGAGAAATTGAGATAGTTTCCATCTGCAGAATCAGATATTAAATACAAACCACATAAACAATGGAGAGGTGTCGATATTTTGTGCTTAAGAATATAAGAAGAGCCATGCCTGATCAGATTATGTCCATCTAGTCCAGCATTTGATGCAGAAGGTGGAAAACACGGTACAATAGGAAAATTCATAGGGCTTGAGCAGAAGGCGATAATTCCCTTTCCTCACTTGCTTGCCAGTGCAAGGTGATTTTTGAGCTTGTTTAAAAGCAGTGGTCAGCACATCCTCACTGCAGGACAGAGTCAGTACAAGAGGCAAAGAGAAGCCTAAAGTTGTGGAGATTAGTGTCCCTCTTTATAGGCTTACACAAATTATAACATGCATTTAATTTGCTGAGCAAGCTCCCAGAAACTGACATTCCAGCACACTGAATTCAGTTCTGTAGCTATTATACAATGCATAAAGCTAGTTTCATGCCTCTATAACCTGTTTGTAGACCTGAATGGTTATTGCTTCATTGCAAACAGTGAAATATAAAAATTCTTTATTTGTGGCTCTATTCAAGTAAAACTTCTTGTCTATTTGTAATCAGAAAATGAGTGCATCTTTTTACTGGGTCTGGGTAGAGACAACATCCCTTAGCTCCCCCTGATGGTTGAAGGGTTATTGGTTGAAGAATTAATTTTAGTTCAAGTTTTTTTTTCCCTGATAGGAATTTGGTAAGAAATTGACAAGGATGCATTGGCTATGAGTTTACCTTGGGAACAGCTTTCTTGGATTAGCAAATGTGGGAAAAACAAAGAGAAATAATCCATAAAGCAACATCTACCTAAATTAATCATCTCTAGCTAGCTCTGGAAGTTCTCTAAAATAGAGTTATGGCAAAATATTTGCTTTTCTGGAAGTATAAAAGAGGAAAAGGAATCAAGATGCAATTCAAATTATATGTTTCATTTGTTGAGGAAACCAAAAGTTTCCTAGTACCACACGATATAGTTTCTTCACCAAAATCAAGCGTAATAGACACACAAATGGCCAACATTTGAAAAATCTTCTCATGTCAAAAGACCTATTCATTGGAAATGCTAGCAATGCTGTGGAATAATATTTCAAGTTTGCTTTTTCATGTCTTATGAGTCTTTCACATATCATAAAAGAGATTCAATATAAAAAAGTTCTTGCGTTTGCTTAAAACAGAAGTCAGTATACTCTCATTAGGGCAGCAATTATACTGTATCTTAAGTAATGTTATTCCTGTTTGGATACAGAATAAGTGAGAGATTATGTGAATATTGTTCCTTTACCTGCCTGAGACTCCGGACCAGTTCATCTTCTTCTGCACTCAGGCGGTTGAGTTGGCAGTAGGTCGTTGCAAGCAAAATATGGCGGGCATGGCACCAATAAGTAGAAGGATGGCCTGGCACCCAGGTAGGTAACAGCCTGCCTCGGAATGAGGGAAGCAATAGGATCATAAAGAGATAGGCAGGAATCTTAAATATAGTAGGTAAAACTGTTGCCTGGTTTGCAAACATATCTCAGAACATTTGATTTCTCCCTGTTGTAATTTCTAGAGCTTCATAAAGGAATTCCAACCATTTTGAAAAACATTAAACATTAAAAGAGAGCAGAGCTTCTAAGACTAATGTAAAGGTTGGATTTTACTGATCTATGGATATTAAGGCCTTTGGAGGCCTTCAACTTTGCTGAAGATGGAATCAGTAAGTTTAGACATGTTGAATTCAGACCTGATTCCTGCATTCACGTAGTTTTCTTGGCAGAAGTATATAATTTTTAGACAATCATGTATCCTTAAACTATTCAGGCCAAATCTTGTTTAGCTTCTGATAGAAACTAAAGTTGCCTAAGTATTGCCAGTGGCTGAGATGACAAATAACAAAAGTAGCCTAATACATTTCAGTCTCTTACAGAAAAACCATCACAGCATATACACTGTACAAATCGAAGATACTGTGAAATATTCATATATATAATCCAGTACAATTTGAATTGGAAGATGATTTAATATTCATGTTGTTAAAATCAAGTCCCATTTCCATCCAATGGCTGAGTTGACTTCATTTCTGGATAACTCCCCCGAATTACTCATTTGTTAGTTTAGAATAATCTTTTGTTCAAAATAATTCAAAACTGGGCATTTTAACTTCTTAGTCTTATCGGCTAGCATTAATATTTGCTAACACTGTATGGCCCTCCCATGCTAAGTCCTTCTGAATTTCTAGGCTACTGCAGCTTGAATCCTGAATCTATTTATTTACTTATATTTCATATTTCTAAACTGCACATCTCTCTCAAAGAGGCAGCCACAAAGAGTTAACTTTTATAAATTGAAAAACTTGTAAACATATCCTGGTAGAATCAAAACTGGGTTAGAAGCCAATATTGTTGCAAATATAATTCAGATGTCTTCATTTGCAGTTTGGGAAAGAGTACAGCTGTGTTGAAATCTTCAGGGTTTTACAGATTAGAGAATATAATATTGTGTTGGCTAATTTTATTCAATGGCTCCTTGATATCAAAACAAAATGCAACATAACCTGAATCTACCCTGTTTCTCCAACAATACAGCCTCCCCCAATAGGAAGTCCCAGCATGTTTTATAGGCATGAAATGAAATTAAGCCCCTCCCCCTAAATTAAGGCCTATATTAAAATATGCGAAATGGGGGGAATGGTGGGGGGGGCTTGCCATTAGGAAGTACTTTTGTTGCACACCTGGATATGGTGCTGCCTGTGTTGACCCCGATAGGAAGTGCCCCACCAATGCCGAGGTCAACATCCAAGCCGTCGCCGCCCGCCCGAAGATGTAAGGGGGGGAATCAAGTCACCCCTGAAAAGACGGCCTAGCCATTTTGGGGGGGCTCAAAAAAAAATAAGACCCGGCCTTATTATATGAGAAACACGGTATTTATTTACTTATATTTCATATTTCTAAACTGCACATCTTGTCTTCATCTGCAGTTTGGGAAAGAGTACAGCTGTGTTGAAATCTTCAGGGTTTTACAGATTAGGCAATATAATACTGTGTTGGCTAATTTTATTCAATGGCTCCTTGATATCAAAACAAAATGCAACACAACTTTAGAGTGCATACCACAATTCAGGAAACGGTGCATTCATTCCCTCCCAGCTGTACACATTCATAATAGCCAGCCAGACTTTCCCCAAATGTGGGGCTCCAAGAGCTCCACCTGGAAAGAGAATTGTCAATCGGGGTAAGAGGAAAGCAGCACTCACTCTATGTAGAAGCAACACAAGAACCACAAATCTTCACTAATCTATAGATCTATCTATTATATAACTTGCTGATATATTACTTGATTTGCTTAGATAATGGTGCAGCTGGTTACCTTCTCAGTATTTCATGCATAATACACCTTTATTTAGATTTTAATTACTGGATTTGATTAGATTTGTATAAAGTTAGAGAATTAAATACTGTTGCCCTTTGTGCTATAGGGAGAAGAAGGATTAATAAGCTTAGAATGACCAGCGGATTTAGCATTTAGTTAGCCATCTCTCTACACCCATGAAAATTGCTTTTAGACAAGTTGCTGAACTCCTTGGCTTGGTTGGCTTGAAGCAAAAAGCATCTATACCAGAGGTGGTATTCAGCAGGTTCTGACCAGTTCTGGAGAACTGGTAATGGAAATTTTGAGTAGTTGGGAGAATTGGCAAATACCACCTCTGGTTAGCCCGCCCCCATCTGCTTCCCGAGTCCCAGCTGATCGGCTGGGTCCGCTTTTGTTGCCTTGCACAGGAGAATGGAGTAGGGGAGGGAATGAGATTTTACAGTAACCTTCCCCTGCCTCGCATACCAAGCCACACCATGCCCACCAAGCTACACCCACAGAAACAGTAGTAAAAAAATTTGAATCCCACCCTGACCTATACCCAATGATTAACACATTATCAAAACCCTTCTGCCCTTAATACAGATAAAGGGGAAGCAAATACCTCGGGCTTCAGTCAGAATATAGGAACAGCAACCTTATTTAAAGGTGCCATTATAATAAAAAGGAAAGATGCTTACATGTTCGAAGACATAAAAGTCATCTAGATTCTAGATGGGAAACCATCTGACAACATATGGGGAGGGATCATTTTCATGGCTTAATATCTCTCTAGATATTTCTGACTTGATTCTCACCTTTTTTATGGAGAGAGATTCGAGCCCTCACTATATCTGGATGGTCAGGTCCATATCCAAGGATTCGCATAGCTATATAGTTGAGGGCTGTGCCAAAAATGGTTGGTTGTTGCTCCCTGAGATGGCTACCACATAGAGAGTTAGAAAATATATATATTAAAAAAGACACAAATGTCCTGGATATATAACTCCCCTATCTACAAATCAATTTACAAATTACCTTCCTTGACCACTTTCTATCATTCTGATAATATCTGTTAGTATTATTTGATTAATGAACTACAAAATCCTTGCTAGAATGTAGATGGGATTAGAAAGAAAACTTAACATTTAAGATGCTTTTAAAACTTTAATTGCTACTGACAACTGACATTTTCTGCTATTTTACAACTCACAGTGTAAAATAAAGATTTACCATGAAATATCTAGTGTGAAAAGTACAAGGTTTCTCTCAGAACGTCTAAGTAGCCAATAAATATTTATTTTTTTGAAAATAACACAGTAGGCAAGTTTGAAAAATGCTGATCTATTTGGAAAAGTTTTAAAGTTTTAAAACCTTTTAGAGTAGATGACCATTGAAGCAACCTATACATATACGAAAAACGAATAACTAACATGGAAAATTGTAGGTGCTGATACAATAAGTATATCAATAAATAAGCAGAAAGGAGTATGGAAATTTGCAAGCTGTTATTCCACAGCTAATGTCATATTTAAGTTAATCGTCCACCATTATCTTGATCTAGCATATAAAACAAAACAAAATGAAGTAATTCAAGAACTAAGAAATAGTAGAAGCTGATGTACTTTGCATTCTATTGTAGACACTGATATACCGGTAAGTATAAGCAAGGGAGCAGAAGCGGGTATAGAAAGTTGTCAGATAACCTTCTGCCATTATTTGGAATTTATCAGAAATTACTCCCCCCGCCCCTGCCCAAAAGAAAAAAGCAACAATATTTTCACTTCACTCACAGACCCCAGCCACCTTCTGGAAGCTGTCTTGAACGTATATATCGTAGTATTTCTTTCTTTATCTCTTCTGGCAGGGAAATCTTAGAAACATAGCATGTAATCAAAAGACCTGTTTGATGAAAAAGACCATGGCTATTCAATAACACCTGAGTTAGGAATTTTTTTGTGCGCTAAAAGTCACCTTGTTTCATAATCTATGGGGAAAATTTGTATTTTTATTTCCCTTAAAAAAAGGGGGGGGGGGATAAATATAGTAAAATTTTATTCAAAGAATCTCTGCACTTTCTCAATTGTAATTTCTCCAATATTCCTGGAATCTATTACTTTTAAATAAAAACACAAAAGCCTACAGATAACTATCATTATTTCAGGAGGAAAAAAGCAGACCGCCTATCCAATTTTTCCTCAAACGCCTGGACACCTGCCAGAGACTGGACGGAAGAATAGTTTCTGCTTCTCAGAAATCATAACAACCTATTATTCTGGAATAACCTTTCCCTCTTCCCTTCATATATGAAAGAATCCAAATTCAAGATCCCAGTTCAAACTTTGCATCTCCAAAATGAATCAAATGAGAAAGGCAGAAAACTGTACAGCAGCCTATCTCAACCTGGTGAGGACTGTAACTCTGTGCACTGACAGAAAAATGGGAGTTATGGAGATGAATTCCAACATATCTGGAAAATACCAAATTGGGAAAGAGAGGCAACATTAATCTAGCAGGAGCCGTGGCCCACTTGGCCTTACATAGCTGAGGATTTCCACCCCCTCCCATTTTCCCAGTTCTGTGTGCTTATTCCATAGGTGAAAAGAGAACTTAATTCACAGCACAGACATAATTTTAACTGGTTGATTAACACAGAATGAATGTATACCTGGAGCAAGGGTGAGCACGCCAGAACATTCAGCAGGCCAATGGCCATCTTCAGCTTGTAGACCTGAAAAAAACTTAATTGCTTTCAGGACTGCTTCCTGGGCCGTGCTGGCTTTGGGCAACTCTGGAAAAAATTTACTCTGTAAAATAAATAATGGTGATAAGAGAAATATATTCCTGTCAGGTCACATTTTTCAATATATTCACTATATTTCTTTCAGGGACATTTTATCTAAGTTAACAGAGAAGACAACAAGAGGTCTGGAATCTTGGTAATGAGGAAGAGAAATTTACCCTTTCTATTCTGGCTACATTCCTTTTTTAAAACATTGGAGCAAAGGGTTTTTACCCATTTTTCAGTTTAAAATTCTTTAGGGAAAATTTCTATAGCGAGATGGGAAATGTTTACACTGTCAGCAACTTAATACAGCCTCAAGATGAAAGGAGCCTTCATGAATCTTCCTTTTCTAAAAGCACAAATCACTTCACTTCAGATACAAACACTCGTTTAACATTATCTATATCTACGGCTATCAGGAGTGTTGCACCAGTAATGGTTCTAGTTAGTATACAAGAAGGTACAGATATTGGGGTGGTAGATACACAAGACTGAGTTCCTTTCTCACTATAAGAAACCTTAAACTACATGTCAGATTAGAAACCACAAGCAGAAAAAAGACCATCAGTACTTGCTAAATTGCATCAAGGCTGCCCTTTATTGGTAGCATTCATGCTTTTCTTTGCCACTGTGGACATTATTTGTGTACTTGTAATGATCATCAGCCACTTACTGTATTTAGCCCTAAAGTATATGCTTCAAGTGCATTCTGTTCCCTGGCACATTCCTCATTTTCAGGCACGTAATACCACTTCTGTCGTCCTTCCACTGTGCTCAGTCGCCAGCGAGTCAGATCTGTCTCTGGTTCGATTTTATTTGCACCTTCTCCTTTGTACAGAGAAAGCCTGATAAGATAGGAGAAGGTTTAAACAGTGATACCATATCATTATTTTGTTATTCAAATTCAGGAAGGAACCCATTCTAAACTTACTTAAAACAGCAAGATGCAAAATATATTAAACAATAAAGAAAGTAAAATGGAAAGATCTTCAGGTGAATCGGGTTCAGGAACCAGGATTCCAGTTTAAAGATTTCTAAAACTATATTTGATATATTTAATTAATTTACTTCAATTTATAGGTTTCTCAAATATCCTAATATTATAAAAACTATCATAATCATCAATAAAACTGTTCAATAATATGTACAGGATTATGCATAGTGGTGCAGTGGTTAGAACGAAGTATTGCAAGCTAATTCTGCCCATAGCCAGGAGTTTGATCCTGACCGGCTCAAGTTTGACTCAACCTTCCATCCTTCCAAGATCAAAAATCTGAGGATCCAAATTGTTGGGGGCAATATGGATTTGTAAATTGCTCAGGGAGTGCTGAGCATTATGGAGTGGTAACTAAGCACTATAGATATTGCTATTATGAATCTATTCCTCTTTAGTATACCCATGTAAGAACAAAAAACACATTACACAAGCAATATGCTTAAATATTAATTTAATATACAATATATATAAATAGTAATTTTAAAACCACCGGAATTACTATAACATTCATCTTTTAATATGTACTGTATCCAGCTCATTGATTCTTTAAATATTCATAGCAAACTATCAAGAATAGTGTACAATTTCATATCTATAGACATTTGATTTTCATGTTATGCTAAACTTTTGCTTGTTTAACTGTAATTTTCTGACTAACCCACTATATAACCTAGCTAACATTATAAACAAAAACAAAATCAAACCAATCCCATAAAGGCTTAGGGTGATATGTGAACCCATTCAATTAGACTCATAGCACTCATCAGCACATATATAAGAAACTGGATTTTAAGCACAATGTTTATATAACCACTCATTTCCTATTAATAGTGCAGTGAATTGCAATCCATTCATCCCAACTGTTGGCAGTATTCGACATCAAGAAAAGTCAAACTTACTTTCTTTGCACTTTCCCTGCTTTTTTAGCATACATTTATTCATTAGGGTTGATATCTTTCAAAATACATTCTTTGATTAAGCTTATTCAGTTCACCCTGTTGCGTAACGCTAAGGATCTTTTACATTTTAGCCATTCCCAATACACCAGAGTAGACCCTGATACACATATATTCTTCTAGTCATAATATGCAGGGAAATTGAACTTACATGTTATCCGACATCTCTCTTGCTTGATATCTGAAATCACCTGCTTTGAATGCTCCGAAGATGTTTGTTTGGAGTGCCAAGAGTTGCCAAGCAAGATCCTGGTGATTCCAAAGCTTGCCAAGCAAGATCCTGGTGATTCACTCTTTGGAGTGGCCAGTTGCCAAGCAAGATCCTGGTGATTCAAAAGCTAAAGTTGAGATGTTGTTTCTGAACTATCACAACTGCAGTGAAATCTGGTGCAGAGTTGCTGGAATAAACCCAATATCCTTGGAATAGGAAGAGACCGTCAGATGTAAGGAATCAAGAACAACACTATGATGTATTCAGAGTAGTTTCTTTATTGTTGTTCACCCATCGAAAGAACCTTGTTAGACTAAAGCACAACTTCCATAACTGTCAGATATACTCATTGGGTGGTTAGGAGGGGGTCTACTCTGGAGTTCTTCCTGAATACCAAGGATTCCAGACTAATTTGCCTCTTAGCTCCTCCTCCCCTCAGAAACTCTGCATCAGATTCTACTGTAACAACCTCTAAAATACCTGAGTTCTTATCCATCAAAAAAATTTTTAAGGTTCACTTAAGCAGATTTGTGGTACCTGACTAGTCATAACAAGGGCACCAACCAGGTTCAGTTAAGGATAGGCTAGAATTAGGAATGGGCGGAGTTGCAGTTGCGCTCTATTATATGTACAGGGAAACTGTAAACTTGCTTCTTTCACAGGGATTATCTTTCTCTGGAATCTGCCATGAATTTCCTTCTCTGATAATTCTGAACATGTATTTATCTGTTATTCTACCACAATTCACATTGTAGGAAGTGTCCAAGGTCAAAGTAATAAACTGATAAAACCAGCCCAGCAGCACAGGAAAATAACAGGTTATGACTTATGAGGCCCTGTCTGACCTACGCAGGTCAGATTTTCAGGAAATGCAAAAAGACAAGCAAAATTGCCCAGAATCAGGTTCCTCTTAATTTTACAAATTATTTACCCTGTTTCTCCAACAATATGGCCTCCCCAATAGGAAGTCCCAGCATGTTTTATAGGCATGAAATGAAATTAAGCCCCTCCCCCCCCAAATTAAGGCCTATATTAATACATGCGAAATGGGGGGGAATGGGGGGGCTTGCCGTTAGGAAGTACTTTTGTTGCACACCTTGATATGGTGCTGCCTGCATTGACCCCGATATGAAGTGCCCCACCAATGCCGAGGTCAACATCCAAGCCATCGTTGCCCGCCTGCCCGAAAATGCAAGTGGGGGGGGGATTAAGTCACCCCCGAAAAGATGGCCTAGCCATTTTTCAGGGCTCAAAAAAAAATAAGACCCGGCCTTATTATAGGAGAAACACGGTAGTTATTTAGAATTTCTGCCCTATCTCCTATCCAAAAGGCTGCTTACGCACTGAAAAATATGTCACACACATTCAATAAGCATCTTTTAATTATTATAAAAAGAACAAATTCACAGTGCTAAATCTATTAGCAACCCTCCTTCATTTTGTATAATGGTCTCATTTTCAGGAAATTACCTCAGGAAATAAAATAAATAAGCATCAGCCTGGGATAGCATTTTCATTGATACAACCCAGTCAAATTTCCATCTGGACTTATAGTATTATAAAGACCATCTCTTGACAGGCTGTTTACTAATCTTATTTTTACAACAAGATTAAAAAAAAATTATACTTGACTTGAAAACAAATCCCAGAGCAGGGATTTGCCCCCCATGTCATATGCTATAAATCAATTACAGAACTTTGAAAGCAATTTAGGAAGACCAAGTCAAAAAACTGAAAGCACCCATGACAAGCTATGTTCAACTGGAAAGCCAAGAGAAACCCTGCCTTTAGGCAGAATTGACTTGGGTGTGTGTGAGAGAGATGAGTGAGGGGACAAATGACAGGATCGGAAAGAGTAGCAATCTGTATTTTCACAATATGATAGTAATTTCATCTAGGAAATGATGAGCATTCTTGTGATGACCTGGTGTGTACCACAAATATAACAAAAACAAAAACATAAATAAAGATTTATTTAATGCCTTCAACTTGGCTTCACTGTTCAATTGTTCGCAGTTGGAGATTAAACTATTTTCAAGATAACATTCCAAATGAAAGAAATACAGTTCAAATTCAAAGAGCAGATAATGAAACAAAAACCAAAAACAAACCACACTGAATAAAGTTCCACAACAGACCAGGATAAATAATTACAAACTTCAGGAAGCTAACCAGGTACAGTCCGTTGGAAGAACGCCAACCAAGATAAACGTAATCTAGGAATAAAAAACTATTTTGTCTCCAGCGTTTGTTAGCACGCAGGTCCAAACTCTTATGCAGATCTCACACCTGCAACCTGTGAAGAGGATCATGGCCCTCTCCTTCCGAGTAGACCACGTTTTACCCTGATCCTCTCCTCCCTGCATGCCCTAGGATGGATAGGGGATGGGCCTGGATCCTCCTCTGGCTGCTCAGCCAGCCTCTGCCCTTCTCCAGCCTCCTCCACAACATCTGAAGTCACACTTCCACTCCCTGTTGGCTGTTCCTCCTCTCCCTCAGAGACAGTCTCCACCAAGGGCATCACAATTCTAGATCTGTGATGGTGAACGTATGGCACGCGTGCCAAAAGTGGCACGCAGAGCCATCTCTGCTGGCACACAAGCTGTCACCCCAACTCAGCTCTACGGAGCATGCATGGGCACCTGCCACCAACCAGCTGATTTTCAGGTATCTCCCATGCATGCGCGGGGGGCGGGGCGCATGCGGGAGACATATGCACAGAGGGTGGGGAGGTCGCATGTGCACTGCATTATGGGTGCCCTTTCGGCACACGATGACAAAAAGGTTAGCCATCACTGTTCTAGACCAAGCTAAAGCCTGTCTACAAGGGAGATGGGCGGTTAAGAAGTTGATAAATAAATAAATCCCAAAATGCTAGGAAATTCCTGGAAGCCTGGCACTCAGACAAATTGGCCATCAACAAGCACATAGAGATAACAGCATTTACACACTAGAAACAAGAAAAAGAAATAAATAGAAGAAGCAATTAGAAAGTTAAAAAGAAGCAATAAAAAAACTAAAAAGGAAACAAAAAGACCAGAAAAGCTCCTTGCCAGCAATCAACTCCCAGATAAGCAAATATTAATATCAGGAGAACACCAGATAAAGAACATCCTAATTAAAAAAAAAACTACCAAGGAAAAAACAGCATCTTCATTGGCAGCACAAGTTACTAGATATAGATAGAGAACAAATCCCACTCTCTTTTCTAGCACTGAAGATGTTATCTAGCTTGGTAATGAAGTGTCTTCAAGAAAACAACCAAGCTCAGAAAGCACCAAGGTCTCCACAGAGTAGCAATCTCTTAAGTTTCTCCTGCATCCTCATCCATTTCTCTATATTAGAAGTTGGGCTGTGGATGTCATGGACTTGCCCCAGGGGTGGGATTCAACCGGTGTTACTACCGGTGTGGTGACTACGTTTTGCCTTTATTATGTAGAATACTCTGGCCCAGGCCTTAATGGCCCACCTATTAATAAAGGTGGGGATGAGTTTCTGCTTCTGAGTTTCTACTCTTTTTAGGGGAAATATTCTGCCTTTTTAATGTTTCCTAAAATATTTCATTTTCCTAGGAGACGGGTGGGTTCTAACTTCCAGCACTAGGAAATGAACAGAGGCAGCAGTGACAGATTTCCACAAGGATAATTTAAGTTTATATATTTAATGAAGACCATACATCACCTTTTCTCTCACCCAGTTTAGATGTGTACTCATTCTCCTATTTCAACACACTTGCTCTTGTGACTACAAGTACTGTAAATTGAGCTAATTCAATATATTCTTCTTTAATACAACTTTTATAATAGTCTTCAGACAGACATCATAAATCCTCTTTGATAAGGGACTCTGGGAGAACAGACTATTTTTAAACCCACTTTTTACTTTAAGAGTCATACCCTAAAACCACCTACACAATAGGTTGTGGCTGTTGTTGTAACCACATTTGTTGTAGCAACACCTGGCAGCAAAAATTACTCAACAATCTGTTTTCTTTCCTTTTAATTGTTTGATTTTATCTGGCTGTTTCTATTGTTTACCTCTGATAATTAAAATAAATTGAATTAGATGAATATTTGCGCCTTTAGACTAGCTTCTCACAACTATAGCTTAAACTACAATTAGCAAGACCATTGCTAAGACACAAACACATTTTACAGAATACACTGGGTTGGCTTGTGCTGTTTGCTAATAAAAACCAAACAAACCATATCCTTGCTAATCATTATATCAGAACTCTAATATTCAGTACTGCCTTTGACAACTGCAGAATTATTAGAGGCACAGATTTTATTCCACTTACACTGTTTAAACAAAATTGCCTAGAGGAAAACAGCCTAAGACAGAAAAACAAGAAGGAAATATACCAGTCCCATATTTCTTAACTTTATGGTATCCAATTGCTGCAGGCTTCTGTAACTAGGGAAAAAAATTATAAAATAGTTATCTAAACTTGTTGATCAGGTTGTAAAAATTGAATATTGTGCAAGTAATAGCAAAGCAGGAATTGCAGGAAAATTAATCACCCATAGGATAAGTATCAGTTTTCTATGCAATACTTTAAAAGTTTAACTGAGAATGTCCTTGATAGCCAAAATTAGAGGTAAAGTTGTGCTCAGTCTCTAGTAGCTATCTAAATAACTGCACAAGTTCATATGGAGGTGGATGGATGGACTAGACCAGTGGTGCCCAAAGTGGGTGGTACCGCCCCCTGGGGGGGATGCCTTAGGAGGGTGTTAAGAGGCAAGGGGGCTGGCAGGGGGCACTAAGAGGCGGCAGGGGGGCATTTGAGGCACCGGCCCTGCAGGTTCACTCATTGACTGTAGCACTGCTCCAGAGCCAGCACCTCCAATGCGGAAGCGGTGGCATGTTATGTGCCGCCATGGCCACGTTTGATGCACCGCCCCTGCCGCCTCTTAGCGCCCCTCTGCTGGCCCCCTTGGGGACACTAAGAGGCGGCAGGGGGGCATTCGAGGTGCCGGTCCTGCAGGTTCATCCATTCGAGGCGCCGCCCCCTGCCACCTCTTAGCATCCCCAAGGGGGCCAGCAGAAGGGCGCTAAGACACGGCATGGGGGTGGCGTGTCGAATGTGGCCATGGCTGCATGTAACATGCCACCACTTCCGCATTGGAGGTGCCAGCTCCGGAGCGGTGCTAGTCAATGAGTGAAACTGCAGGGTCAGTTGGCGCCTCAAACACCCCCCTGACACCTCTTAGCCCCCTGGTACCAGCCCCCTTGGGGACGCTAAGAGACGGCAGTGGGGTGTTCAAGGCGCCGGCCCTGCAGGTTCACCCGTTGACTGTAGTAATGCTCCAGAACTGGTGCCTTGAATGCGGCAGCACGTTGGGTAAAGTCGCTGCCACCGCTTTCAAGGTGCCACCGCTGTTGCATTCTATCTGTCTGTCCATCCGTCCATCCGTCCATCCAAAAGGTCTGTCTGTCTGTCTGTTTGCCTGCCTGCCTGCCTGTCTGTCTGTCTGTCTCTCTCCATCCATCCATCCATGTTCGAAGCGCCGGCCCTGCAGGCACATCAGGAAAGTAGAGCAAAGCCAGTCTGAGAGGGAGGGAGGGAGGGAGGGAGGGAGAGAGAGAGAGAGAGAAAGAGAGAGACCTGATGCATCAGATTGAATGAGGCCTAGTTTAGACTGAGGCCCTTTTCCACATTGAAACCTCTTTGCCAGCACATTGAAACCTCTTTGGCTTCTATTAAAGGTTTTGTGGACGAAACATGGTCAAAACTATCAGGAAGCTCTCACATTTTTTTGAGGCTTTAAACAGGATCCATTGGACCAGTTGTCTACCCTAAAAATTACTTTTCCCCAATGTGCCAATTCTGAAGAAAGCAAAACCAAAATGTACTGGTAAATTACAAGGAGAACACACACACACACACACCTTCTAACCCTGCTGGAGCAGGTGATTGGACTAGAATAGATATCTCATTATCTTTCTCCTCCCTCCCTCCCTCTTTATTTCTTTTTCTTTCTGTCCCTTCCTTCCATCCCCCCCTTTCTTTGTCCCTTTTTCTTTCTTTCCCTTTTCTCTTTATTTTCTTCCTCTCTTTCTTTTCTCTCTCTCTTTCCCTCTCTCGGGCTCATCCCTTTGGATCACGGATCGCCAAACTTTTGGACCTCAGGGACCACCAAACTCATATTTTTAAATCCCGGAGACCACTAATATGAATTTTGACTGAGGTGGCTTTCTGGCGTTGGTGGGAGAGAGAGAGAGATCTGATCCAACCTCTCTTTCTCCCTCTCTCTCACACACACAGGCAGGGGTGGGGTTTAGAGCCCTGATGTAAAGCTGTCAAAACTCCGAAAATTGGTCAAGTAGCTCTGGGGAGGCCAGTCATAAATTAGAACACTTGCTAAACAACTGGTCATTAAGTGAGGACCACTTGTATTTGATTTGCCAGTCACCTGGCCACACCCACCCAGTCATATGACTAGCAAGCCATGCCTACCCAGCCATGTGACCAGCAAACCACACCCTCAAATTAGGCCACACCCACAGAAATTTGAATCCCACCCCTGGATGGGGGGGCACCAAGGATGAGTTTGTAGCACCAAGGGGGCAGTGGACCGAAAAAGTTTAGTAACCACTGGACTAAACACACAGACAATACAGATATAGTTTATCAATTGTCTGCCTGCCTGCCTACCCACCTATTATCTATCTATCTATCTATCTATCTATTATGTATATCGGGGTGTCAAATTCACATTGTCATGATGGCATCATGTGATGTAGTGGGATGTTTTCCCGCTTCGCTAAACTGGGCATGTGTGTGGCCAGCATGTGATGCATCCAGCCCACAGGCTGCAAGTTTGACAACCCAGATGTATATCATCTATCTATCTATCTATCTATCTATCTATCTATTATATCATTTGTATCTATCAATCTTTATATTAGTGGCACAGTGGTTGGAATGCAATACTGCAGGCTACTTCTGCTGACTGCCAGCTGCCTGCAATTTGGCAGATTGATTCTCATCAGGCTCAAAGTTGACTCAGCCTTCCATCCTTCTGAGGTGGGTAAAATGAGGACCCAAATTGTTGGGGGCCATATGCTGACTCTGTAAACCACTTAGAGAGGGCTGTAAAGCACTGTGAAATGATATATAAGTCTAAGTGTTATTGCTATCTAGCTATCCTTGGTCTAATGTATAGCTCCAAGATCATCCAGTGGTCTTCCATTCTGCAACAACTGAAGTTTCTGAACACTGTTCAAGGGCTGCCCCTTATAAAGAACATTGCAATAGTTCAATATGAAGATGACTCGGGCATAAGTGACTGTGAGCAGAACCTCCCAATCCAGATCAACTGGCACCTAAGACAAAGCTATGCAAAGTCCCTCCTAGCCACAAGTGTTCATTGAGCAAGAGTTGTGAATCTAAGGCAGGGATATCAAACTGGCGGCCCATGGGCCAGATACATCCCACGCAGGCCACACCCACCTGTTACACCCACCCATTCCACAAATGGGAAAGACATCACATCATGTGATGGCAACCTCACGTGGAAAATTTGACACCCATCGTCTAAGAGAAACCTCCACATTGCACACCAGATCTATCTGAGGCAATACCACCCCATCCAGCAGCAAAGGTGGTATAGTTCCACAACCATTAGGCCCCCAAAATCTAAAGCCAGTCTTGCCACCCTAGTGTTCCCCATTCAAATCTGCAGACTGCAGACCCTAAGATAACACATTCATTATTATTATTATTATTTTGATCTGAGAAAGAAAAGTTAAGCTTCTTTTTTAAAAAAATAATTCCTTTTTGCCTTTCTCTATCAGCTCTGCTGTAGCTGGCTTAAACTTTCCTACCACAAGCAGGCATCTACCAAACAGCATAGCATAACGTGGAGGTTATCACTTTGCATCCTTCATGATGAAACCAATAGCCAGGTAGTAAAATTAAGTGTATCAAAACAGCACTGCAGCACAGAATTGCTCAGAATAACTGCTTTAATTCGTACCAGCTTATTGCAAGATTGAAACAGTAAGAATGTAATGACAGGACCATTCCTGATTGCCTCCTGAACAGAAGGGACATTGAAGAATTGGGAAATCTGCTCTTGGTGCTGAAGGAAAATACGGGGAGAAAAGTTCTAAATCAAAATACTGAGCGTGACTCCTCTCTCTTCAATGTTTTTTTCTTTTTTAATTTCATTCAGCTCCAGCTACAAGGAATGGGGTGCAGGATAAGGGGCACAAGGAGTCTAGAAACGGGCGGAAAGTCTTGCAGTTTGATCTGCCCATTTCTGATATGATCTGGCAGGGAGTTTTTTTCTCTCTCTTTCCGCCAGCTGGAAAAGCGGGGAAGGGGAAAATCGGCAAAGCCAAAATAATCAGCTACTCCTTTGCCTATCACGCATTGTCCACACATGTCATCTGGATTGCACCGCTGCTCAGCCATCCAGTTCAGTCCCGATGTAGACTGGATGCATACCAGCAACGCAGAAACAAATCCCATGCTGCAATACTCTGCAGCTGACTCGTAGATGAATCGCCCTTCAAGAATAGTTGTTAAAATTAAAGAATATTGCAATATTTGCAACTTAACAGGCACGAAAACAAAACCTCTTATAACCCTGAAACGCGGGCGTGGGTATCTAACAGAATATCGTGCTTATATCCAATCTTCTGACCACTCATGTCTCAGGTAAGATTAAAAAAAAAACCTGGCGAACGTGTGCACACGCTTGCCGTCAAAATGTTTTTTTTTTAAACTTTGAACTGCCTCCTTATATGTCATATGATGGAATTTGGACCAGAAGGATTTGCCCTAGTCCTCCAACAATATTAGACCCGGGAAAACCGTCGCCCATTTCGCGATGTGAGCCCGGAAGCGTTCCGAAATAAAAAGGAAGCTATGTGTACGCATGCGTAGTTGCAATCGAATTTCTCGCAGTTCTTGCGCAATTGCTGGAAGGTCGCGCTCCTCATTGAATGGCATCGGCGACTTTTGCAACGAGGAAAGCGATCCTAGCTACGGTGCCGTAAGTGAACGCAAGATGGAAGCGGGATGGATTGTTCTCGGGCTGTTCCTGGCGAGTTTGCTGACGGGACTGTTGTTTTGCAGACACCGAGCTGTATATCTGCACTTGGGCCAGCGGTGCAGTTTAAGTAACAGATAACAGAATAACAGAGTTGGAAGGGACCTTGTAGGTCATCTAATCCAACCTTCCGCCTAAGCAGGGGATCCGACCTACACTATTTCTGACAGATGACAGTCTAGTCTCTTCTTGAAAGCTTGCAGCGGTGAAGCTCCCACAACCTCTGAAGGCAAGCTGATCCATTGGTTGATTGTTCTCACTGTCAGAAAATTAATCCTTATTTCTAGATTGAATCTCTCGAAATATATGATCTTCCATGCCTGTTGCCTGTAGTGCAACTTATTTCCCAGAATTTCTTCCTTTGGGGGCTTGGGGCTAATGTTCTTCACAAAAACGTCAGGAAACATTTAATTTAACAGTACATATTTGACTAACCTCCTGTATATGTACTACTGCACTCCCATACTTTTCCAGAAAACTGGAAGGCACCAGGTTGGGAACGGTTGTAATAAAGCAGAGGTAGACAATTTGCACTATTCCAGATATAGCTGAAGTTTTACTAGCCGTCCCCGCTGGCCAGCCATGAGTTACAATTGGTCAACAAGACTGTGCAAGTGTTTCATATTCAGTATTCCAAAAGTATCCCAGTATCCCAAAAGTGCTTGGAATACATAGGAGCATGAATGCAATACCTGCTTGTGGGTCTTTAAACCTACCCTATCTTTTCCCTTGGATCCTGCCACAGCTAACAAAAGATTGGGTGTTCCTGAGATAAAATGTAACTTTTTTTAAAAAAAAGTTACAGACGGGTTACATCCATGATCTCATTATCCCAAGCACTTTGGGGGCACTGAATTTGAAGCACCATGCATCCTATTCAGCAAATCTATCTAATCTATCTAATCTATCTATCTACCTATCTACCTACTGCAGTGGTTAGAAGGCTATTTCTGTTGTCTGCCAGCTGCCTGCAATTTGGCAGATGGAATTTCACCAGGTCAAGATTGACTCAGCCTTCCATCCTTCCAAGGTTGGTAAAATAAGGACCCAGATTATTGGAGGCAATATGCTGACTCTGTAAACCTCTTAAAGAGGACTGTAAAGTACTGTGAAGTGGTATATAAGTCTAAGTGCTATTGCTATTGCTAAAATGCCAATTTCATTCTGAAAAGTAACTGGATGGTATAGCTGAATGGAGAGCCTTTATTCCCCATTTGCATTCTTTACAGTTGATTGATTCGTTATTTTCCTTCAAGTCACTGTTGACCCTTAGCAACCACATGTTTCCCAACTTCAGCAATTTTAACATGTATGGACATATTGGTTGGGGAAGTCTGGGAGTTGAAGTGCACTTATTTTATATTTGCTGAGATTGAAAGATAATTCTCTACAAGATAACCTTCTACAGGATATCTATCACCAGTTGACTCTTCAAATCATCCAAAAGTGTACTCATCCACCACTGTAATCAGGCATCCATGTTATTGCTGGTTGTCCTCATCTTTATTTTCTTTCTGCCTTTTCCACCATTATGGTCTTCTAAATGGAGCTGGGTCTTTGCCCAAAATATGATAACCTTTGCCTTGAGTTAGAATTGTGCACAATTACCTCATCATTAATAATGCTAATTTGCTTCCTTGTATGATAACACTGTAAACATAATAATGAGTGGTATTAAATAACTAATTGTTTCTTGCTGCATCAAAATTATGCAAGATCTAATGTTACAAGAAATGTGTGCAATATAATAACTATGTCTATACAAAGCAATAAGATAATGAAAACTTACCCAACTTTTAGGTACATTGAATGGAGTAATGTTTAAATAGGAGTTAGGATGTTTAATATTTAATATATTATATTTTATTTATTTGGGTGCTTATTAAGGAAAGGGTTGCTTGTTTTAGTAGAGCAGTAGAAATAAAAATAAAGCAATAGTGAAAGAGAAAGGAAAGGAAAAAAGGAAGCAACATATCAACCCAGAAATATATACAATGCATACATACATTTTTGTCCAATTCTAATAAAGATCGCCATATTTTATTATGCCCTTCATTATATAATCTATGTTCTAGTTGCAAGTACTATCAATCCACTGAGTAATTTGGGTCATTAATGCACCTTTCCAATAACCCCTGTCTGTTGTCCAACCATCAATTTCCATGTAATAGATAATGCAATTTTTAAAATGGATATCCAAGAATATTAAAACTTTACTCAAAGTTAAATTAATATATGTAATTTCTCAGATCATTCTTAAGTTATTTTTTTCTGCTCATTTCACCAAGTACAAAGCTAGCTGATTCCTGCATTATATTTCCTTGTAATTGTTACACAATTTACAATACCAAAATGTGATTTGAGAGAACTGGTTTTTTGTCTGTTGCTCAACTGGAGTTCAGGATGGATCCAGTTAAATTGCCAGCTACATTTTTTAAAGTCCAAACTACTATTTATCTAAATACTATAAGCAGAAGTTGTTATAACAATTTTTATCATAAAATATAAAAGGAAAATTCCACTCCTCTTTACCCACTTTCTCTCTCTCTCTTTCATGTCCCTGAAAGGGTTTAGAAAAGAAAAATGTTTAGGTTTTTTAAAAAAAACCTAAGAAGTAGGTTAAGGATATACTTGGATTTCTTTCCATTCTTCCTGTTGATTGGGAGTCTAGAGATAATTAGCACTTATAAATATATTTAAATTCATGTGAGGATTTTAAATGTGATTTATTTATCGTACCTGTATTTAGAAGGTTGGTGGGACACCTTTTAACGGTTCTTTGAGACAGTCTCTGCAAACAAGCTTTTCAAGTTTTTTTTTCTAGAAACACCTTATTTTCATATCATTTTACAAACCAGAATAGTTCTTATTTCCTTGTCAATGCAGTGTGAATTATTTTATCATACAATGGCATACAGCACAGTGTAGCTTATAAGCTTAATTATGTGAAATTAGTTTTTGCTACTTTTTCTTTTCCTGCAGATTTGGATCTGAAGCTTCCTCAATGAATCTTAAAATGGATCAACTTTTTAAAACAGGAAAAATAGTACTGCCTTGTTTAGCTAATTGGGTCGTGTGGTGTCAAAGACAGAGTTACAGGTCTTACAGCAATTTTCATAAAAAACAAAAGCTTTTTCCACAAATGAACCTGCGGGATGACACTGAAGCATTCCAGGAGAGTAGAACTGGAGAACCGATGTGTAAAAGCCAAACATTGATGTTACAGACTGGATTAATTTGTCCTGCCAATCCTGGATGCTATTACTATATGCCTTATACTGTCCGAGCGTTGGAGAAGCTTATCAGAGTTTTAGACCAAGAAATGCAAGCCATAGGTGGCCAAAAAGTGAACATGCCCACGTTATGTTCCGGAAAGCTCTGGAAAGCCAGTGGAAGATGGGAACTGATGGGCAAAGAGCTTCTGCGAGTGACAGACAGGCATAGTCAAGAATATTGTTTAGGGCCTACCCATGAAGAGGCCATCACAGACCTAGTAGCTTCTCAAGGCTCCTTGTCTTACAAACAGCTTCCTCTTTTGTTGTATCAGGTGACAAGGAAGTTTCGAGATGAGCCGAGACCTCGTTTTGGGTTACTCCGTGGCCGAGAGTTCTATATGAAGGATATGTATAGTTTTGACGTCTCTGAGGAGGCTGCCCTCCAGACCTATTCTCTTGTGTGTAAAGCTTACTGCAACATATTCAGCCGGTTGGGACTTCAGTTTCTGAAAGTCCAAGGAGCAACAGGAAGTATCGGAGGAACATTGTCTCATGAATTCCAGCTACCTTCTGATGTTGGTGAGGACCGATTGGCGATGTGTACCAACTGTGACTTTTCAGCCAATCTAGAGTTAGTCAAGTCAGATGAGATGCGTTGCCCTGTTTGCAAAGGAGAACTGGTTGAGAAGAAAGGGATTGAAGTGGGCCACACATTCTTCTTGGGAACTAAATATTCCTCAGTTTTTAAAACTACTGTCCAAACCGCTGACAATGTACCTGTTCTAGCTGAAATGGGATGTTATGGGTTGGGTGTCACCCGCATCCTTGCGGCCTCCATTGAGTTGCTTTCAACAGAGAACGCCATTCGTTGGCCGAACCTCATAGCACCCTACCAGGTTTGCCTTATTCCTCCCAAAAGTGGCAGTAAGGCACAGAAAACAACAGAACTCGTAGAGGATTTACACAGGTGTGTTGCTGAAGCCATACCCCAGCTTAAAGAAGAACTTGTGCTGGACGACCGGACTCAGTTCACCATTGGGAAAAGGTTAAAAGACGCGGACAAACTTGGCTATCCTTTTGTTATAGTATGTGGGAAGAAGGCTTTGGATGACCCTCCTCTCTTTGAAGTTTGCAACCAAAACACGGGTGAAACCCTATTCCTCACCAAAGAGGCCACGATTGACTTGCTATGTAAAGTCCAAATTCCCTAAAGACTGGATTGGGGGTGGTGATGGTTCTAAAATATTAAAACTTTGTCATATGAAAGCATACAGTAATTTGGGTATGGTGGATTTTTTATTGTTTTGATTTCTAGTTCGTAACCCAGGTATCCCAATGAAGCAGAATGATGGTGCCTCTCTTGCTGAAGCTTTGCATGTGTCACCCTTACTAGATAAGGTGTATAGGAAACATGATCAGATAAGATAATTGTACTTTATTGGAGGGTTACATGAACAGAATCCTTCAAGTTTGGGCATTTCCCCCCACGTCCCCTTTATAGTCCCAAAACTAGAGACAGTCTCTTGCCCCTCCTACAGCTGCTTTTTAATTTACTTATTATATGTTTAGAAATAACTTAAGGCAGCAAACATATCCAATACATCTTCCTCCTTTTATTTTCCCCACAACAACAACCCTGCAAGATGAGAGTAATTAGCCCAAGGTCATCCTGCTGACTTTCATGGCCAAGACAGGATTTGAACTCACCATCTCCTGCTTTTTAGCCTAGTGCCTTAACCATTAGACCAAAGTGGCTCTCTCTTTCTAACTAATTGTACATTTGAGGTACAGAAACAGCAGGCCATCCTACAGAGATTCTTTTACCATTGTTTTTTACACTTGAGAGTGAACTTCTCCCTGTAAAAAGGGCTTCCTTAGCATTCCTAAGTAAAAAAAAAAAGCTGCTCTCTTTCTTAAATGAGAGTAGACTACCTGTTTGTGTGAGTTACCACATTGTTTTGAGTTCCATTTTTAATTTTGGGACCAGTTTAAACCAGGGTTTCTCAGCCTCAGCAACTTTTAAGAAGTGTGGACCTGAACACCTTATGATAGTTGGGGAATTCTGGGACTTGAGCTTCACATTTCTTATGTTTGCTGAAGTCGAGAGATACTGATTTAAAATATCAAAAGGCACATTTGTGGAGTGCAAGTCCCTAAACGTCTTCTGTGGTTCAAATTGCCTATCTGATCAAACTTTTCTATGAGAGCTTTTGCCTTGTATTCTTGATCGTAAGCCTCAGTGGTGCAGTGGTTAGAGTGCAGTACTTACTGCAAGCTACTTCTACTGCAATTTAGCAGATGGAATCAATCCCACCAAGCTCAAGGTTGACTCAGTCTTCCATCCTTCTGAGGTGGGTAAAATGAGGACCCAAATTGTTGGGGGCAGTATGCTGACTCTGTAAACTGCTTAGAGAGGGTTGGAAAGCAGTATAAAGAGGCATATATGCTATTGCTATATAGTTCTGCCTGCTTCAGAATCTACTTTAGGCTGACTTCATCAGGCAACAGCCTTGTTTTACGATACCAAAAGGCAATTTCTTTCTTTCCTTCAAAATAAACTGGTAGATGCTTATGCTATTATAGGTAGTTAAAATGAGTGGGAAGAACCTCCAAATACCTGAAACTGGCCATTCCTTTCTGTCCTATCTGATTTATCTTTCTTCTTTCTCTTCTTCCTTCTCATATGACCTGAGGACTTCAACTCCCAGAATTGGCTAGCTCAGCAGCTCGTCCACAGGTTGTAAAGTTGCCATAGTTTCCCTACCCCTGTCATATAGAAAGCAGGAACTATTTGACTATTCCATAAATCCAAAGTAGCCATTTCTAGAAAATTAGTCTGGAGGCCAAGAGAAACTAGTCTGAAGTCTCTTTATGGCACTAAAGCCATCGTTTTTCTAGAGCGGGGCTGTCGACTCGCGGCCCAGATGCATCACCTGCTGGCCAGGGGGAAAAATCACTACATCACGTGATGACGACGTGAGTTTAATACCTCTGTTCTAGAGCATCCTATTCTAGAACAGTGGAGATTCTCAGTCATCTGCGTCCTGGTTGTCTCAAAGGTGTTTTTTTCCAAGAGGCAACTGGACTTTCTTTAAAAGAAAGAATATCCAATTGCCTCTTGAAAAAGCACCTTTGGGACAACTTATTCTAGAAACTGTAGTCTTTCAAAATGTCGCCAAACTCATTAGATCTACTTTCCAGAACATACCCTTAGATTTACCATGAGAGGAAGTTGCAGAAGCCCTCAAGTGTATTCATATTATACTGTATATTCAGTTTTCTTGAGGCTGGGTCTTTTTGTGGCTCAGGCTGATATGCAAACCCATGGTGAGCTGGTAATTCAATGTATTGTAGGAATTCAAAGTTACTTAGTAATAGAACCAAATGTGTTATGTACTTCTATCGGGATAAATGTTGCTGGGGAGAGGAAAAAAATCTCCCTTGAGTTAAATTCAGTGGCTGACAGCTACATGGACATATATCAGTGGTGTTTTCTGGGCAAAAAATGAGGACAGTATTTGGCACTGTCACGTGTGATTTTTAAAGTTTAATTTCACCTGCAGCCCTGAGGTTTTCTGCTAGTGGCTCATCCTAGCACTAGTCAAAGTGATCCTGCTAAGCTTTATGAAGTTAGCTAAGGTCACGGCTGCCACCTTGCTGTGGAGCAAAGTGAAAGCAGTCTCTCAGCCTTGGACACACTCAGGATTTTAAACTTTCAAGAGTTTACATGCAGTGACGCTGGCACAAGAGTTGTAATCTACGACTGCCAGCTGCTTGGCAGTTTTGAGTCTCTCTGGCTCAAGGTTGAGTCAGCTTTCCATCCTTCCGAGGTCGGTAAAAGGAGGACTGAGATTGTTGGGGATAATAGGCTGACTCTGTAAACCTGGAAAGCACTGTGAAGCAGTATATAAATGCTAATAAAGCCGTTGGGCTGATGGACAAGGAAGGCAGAACTAGGTACTACACACTTAAGGGGGTGTGGAGCGGTTATATTAGAATTGTTTTCTCTAGTCAGGTTTTCACATTAGAGCAGGATGAGCAAGCAGGGCAACTTTACGACCTGTGGACTTCAACTCCCAGAATTCCTGAGCCACCCCCGTAGTAGAGAAAGCATCCAAGTAAGGATAATGGGAGCTGTAGTCCAGCGGGCCTGGTAGCCGCAGACAGTAAAGGCGAGGAGAGAAAAAACCCCGACCTCGCGCACCATCGCAAGCCTCGACAGCCTGCGCTCACCTTTCTCGCCGCTTTCGGCTGCAAGAGCCGCCTCCGGAAGGGCGGAGCGGCCTAGCGGAACGACGCTTTCACACATGGCGGAAAGCGAGGAGACGGATTGGGATGCCTTCCTCGACAAATTTCAGGGCCCGCAGCGATACGAGGGGGCCTTCGATCCCACGACGTGGGAGCAGGTATAGCTGCGGAACAGGGAGCACTGCCCGGCGGGAGGCTCTGCTCTTCGCCGGGGAGGCGCGTTTCGGGTCTGGGGTGGGCAGCGCTGGTTGGAAAGGAGCGGGTGAAGCGAAGCAAAGCTGCAAGGTTTGATCCGAAATCGCCTCTCTGAGAGATTAAGACCAGGGGTCCCCAAACTTGGCAACTTGAAGACTTGTGGACTTCAACTCCCAGATTCTGGAATTTGAAGTCCACAAGTCTTCAAGTTGCCAAGTTTGGAGACCTCTGAATTAGACGGTTCTTCCTCCAGAGGTCCCGAAGGGGCATTTTGATTCTTCCGAACAGACCTGTAAGATGGGCTGAGAGATGGAGACATTGAAGGGGATGATCCTGGTTAAGGCCACTACGGCTGGATACGGTTCTCCAGCGAATCTTCCTGGTAACACAGTTAGTCCTTGACTGTTTGTTTAGTGACCGTGCAAAGTTACAACTGAACTGAAAAAGTTGACTTCTGATTGGTTTTCACACTTAGAAGGGTTGCATGGTCACATGATCACAATGTGGATACTTGGCAACTGGCATGTATTTATGAGGGTTGCACTGTCTCCAAGTCATGTGATCACTTCGTGCAACCTTCTGAGGGACAGTTGAAGCTGGCTTCCCCATTGACTTATTAACAACTGTGTTTCCAACTTAAGAATTTCAGTGATTCGCTTAACAACTGTGTCAAGAAAAGTCATAAAATGGGACAAAACCCACTTAACAACCGTCTTGCTTAGCAGCTGAGATTTTGAGCTCAACTATGGTCGTAAGTCGAGGACTACCTGTAATGCAAATGAATCTGTGAACAGCCTGTGATCTGCTATGCCTGTCATCAGATGAGGATTTAAATGCATCTTTTCAGGGATTACATCCTTTTGCATTCAGTGTCAGACTAGTCTGATTACAGATCTGCTTGTTTTGATGGATTACTGATTATCTGCCCTCCAATTGGCATTGATACTTAGCAACCACAAAGATAACTTTTCTTAGTGACAATTGTTTTAGGGAAGGTTAAATGCAGTATTTCCTAACAATGGCTGTACTCATTTACAAAGTTGACAGCTGAAAAATTAAAACATCTTTTTAAAAAATCAAAAGTACAATAAAATTTTCCGGCCAGGTGTGAGGAACTTATCTTCCAGATGTGCTTAATTGAAATCCAGAGTTTTGCCAATGCTGGCTGAATGAACTGCAACAATGAGGGCCTCAGATTTTCAGCATAAGCAAAACTTCTGTTCTTTAAGAAATTTAACATTATATTGGCTGTTTCCTAGTATGATTTTATTGTACTCAATGACTATTATTAAGTGTTGTACCTTATGATTCTTAATGAATGTATCTTTTCTTTTATGTACACTGAGAGCATTTGCACCAAGGCAAATTCCTTGTGTGTCCAATCACACCTGGCCAATAAAGAATTCTTTTCTATTCTATTCTAAAAAAAACCTATCAGATATCAGGTATGTTTTCAAAATCGAGTAAAAGTTTTGAATTGTTTATTTTGTTCCATTCTTACTATCTTGAATTACCTGTATGTGTTCATAGGAATTTGATCAGATTCCAATATTCATGAAGAATGCTCCCACTGAAATAAATCCAAAACAAAATCCTGATCTGGCATGCCTTCAGTCTATCATTTTTGATGAAGAACAGAGTTCTGAAGGTACCCTTTTATACTACGTATAATATTTTAAGACAATACAGGTTATAATTTCCCTCTTTGGAATTGCATTGGTGGCTGAAACAATTCATACCAGACACTTTCTAAAAATAGTGATGTCTATTGTGTTTTCCTCACCAGAGCAAGCTAAGACTTATAAGAATGAAGGTAATGATTATTTCAAAGAAAAGGATTATAAGAAAGCTGTGATATCTTACACAGAAGGATTGAAAAAGAAATGCAGTGACTTGGAATTGAATACTGTACTTCATACAAACAGAGCAGCAGCCCACTTTTATCTGGGTAATGTGATGCATTCCAATTTATACCTAGTTTTTGTATCTTTTTAATGAAAATATATTTCCTTTCTTCATTTGTTCTAATATTTATCTC